ACTGCAGATTAAGCGCCTGTTTACAGAGTCTTAAGGAGGCAACTAAACCAAGCAAAACATACTAAGATGGAACTGTACAACACTAATAAACATGGAAATACCCAAAAGATTCCACAGGAACCTTAATGTACAAATCAAAATGGATACAATGGTCTATATTCTGAATGATTCTGCAGGTGATTAAATGATGATATTATTGTCATTTTTCATTCTACACTAAAAAATTAATAAACCTTTGCAAACCTATCGAATACATTCAAAAGACCATTTCCGATCTCCTTCCTTTAATACATACAGCAACGTCTTTGATGTCCCCGTTTGATGGATATTGTAATTATGATTTTGTTAAAAGAATAAAATATGCACTATAATTCCGATCATTGCAATATGTCATAAAACTATGCATACAACAGAAAGATCAAGAGTACTTACATGTAAAAATCACCTGCAGTTTACCTGTGCTCTACAACAAAACTCATAGTGGTTCCATCAAACGATGGTGGAGCAATGATTCTTGGACCTTGCTGCGTTGTAATGCTGATGATAGGCTTTCCATCAAAGGGACACTGGAAGGCCTCGGAGCCCCTGCTGGTGATAAACTGGGGCTTGGTGGCGCCTTGTGGGGACCACCCTGTGGGGCTACAGTAAGAGCTCTCCCAGCATACCGCGTCCATTGACTGCCCCCCATGCGTGACCTCTTGGCTGGCGAGCTTGTCTACACCGCTGTCTGCCTCTGGTGGTGTTTGGCTGGGCAGCATGGCCGTCGAGGGCATAAAGCCTGGGTAGATCACGTAGGCAGGGCTATATGAAGTGGGGCTGAGTGCCAGAGGTGAGACGGACACAGGAACAGGAGTCACAGATGTCTGTGACATGGGGACATCAACATACTGTCCGGTCTCGGGGTCAAACAGCCTCCGTGTAGTTGGCTGGACTGGGGTATCCACCAGATAATAGTGCCCTGTGGTGGGATCTAGTAGCATCTTCCGCTGGGTCTGCTGGAAGGACTCGGCCGATGGTGTCGCCGTTGCTGTAGGCACTGGTTGTGATAAGCAGAGGACCTGTGGTTGCACACCTTGTGCTGCTATTGGCAGGGAGTGATGGTAGATGGTAGCAGTAGGGGAGTCTGGGGACTGTGTCTCTGAGGTGACAGTTTCGTTGGCTGTCGGCCTGCTGTGTCTCCTTGCATCGGCTTTGGTAGGGTGACCGGCGGGCCTTTGGTACTGATGTTTGGCACTAGTGGATGACCACGTACTAGTCGACTTGTTGATCGGCTCTCTGCTGGTGTGACATTTAACGGGTATAGTCAGGTAATTCTCAGAATCACAGAGGGCAGACTGGTTCCCTTCACTGGAATTGGGCGTCTCTTTCTCCTCTGCTGCAGGCCTATCCTGAGATATTTTTAATGACAGAGGTACTTCTGTGTTTTTAGAAGCAGAGCATTTAGTACGAGGATGTGCTGACGACATGAGAACTTTATTATCGTTGCTGCTGCTGCTGATTATCCTATTTTTATTCCCCAACGGGAATGCTGTTTTGTTACTGAAAAGTCCGCTCTGGTGAGATGCTGCTCTAGATGAATGTTTTTCCTCTTGATTAAATGGGATGTGTAACGTTTTAAGAAATTCTTTCTTTTCTTTTTTGGAGCACTCTTCCAGAGTGGGAACAGCAGGCAATGTTGGGGGTGACTGATCTGAGTTTTGGTGGGAGTTTGCTTGGATTAACTTCTCGTTACCTGCTGCTGTGCAATGAGTCAGGTTTCCAGGCTCTGCTCCGGATTCCGATTTTCCTGTAGTTAAGTGTTCTGCACTGGTAATAAGTGAAAGTACGTGGCTGTCCGTAACTGGCCTGGGGGCCTGGATTTTACGCTTCCATTCATTCCGATCGAAGACGTAGAGCTGTTCCATGGTTTTGACCGCCGCCCTCAGTTTCTCAATGGCAGCCTGATTAGCCACTTTCGACTCTGCTTTCCTTTCACCTGAGTCAATGACCTTTTGTTTAGTGGTAGCTAAAGGAACTCGACCCGTTGCACGTTTCACTAGTATGCTTCTATTTTTAGCGTCATCTGCAGGCACGAGGGAAGATGACGTGCCAACCTCAGGTTTACCCTCAGTAAGCCTTTTCCACGAGACTGCAGTTATGTTTTCCATTTGTTTCGTGTTACTGTTTGTATTCACTGACTGACACTTGATAACTAGGGGCGACGGAGATGTTGTGGTTTTGACGGATTCCTCCTTAGATGCATTCTGCTCCACGTTTGAATCAGCTACAGCTGCTGCTTTTTCCTGATTATCGAGTGAAACAAAGTGATAAGAACTTTTTACCAGCTTCCGCACATCTCTAACCTGGTAAATCGGAGGCTGCATCTTTCCCTTGGTATCCCTGATGTCTCTGACTATGAAATGAGGCACTTTCTCCATCATCTCTCCCTTCAGTGATGTGATGAGCGTTTGGCATTTGGAGTCGCCGGCCGACCTTACAGCACCGGTCGCATTGGACACTATGTTTGGAGTTAGCAGGTTAGCTATGTTGAACGGATTGGGTTTGTTGTCCTTCACACTCCGCAAACTTATTTTGATTCCAGGCGGCTTTGACGACACAGCACCGCTTGCGGCGCTAATGCTATTGAAGCTCAGCTTGGTGTCCTTTAATTGTCCTTGCCCAGTCATGGTGTGGGTTGGGTATTTAGTCTTTGTTTTCCTCTGTCCCCTGTCTTTGCAGGGAAGCTGTATGCTTGGCACAAATAAGTGGGACATTTTAGTTAGCCTGCTGTTCCCCGTTTCGAGGTCTAGGTTTGCTTTGCCGAAGTTGTCGGTGAACGACGTTAGCTTCTTGGCTGGAGGTGTCTTACGTTCCTGCTCCTTTTGAAACTCCGGCCCGTCTTCTCTCCAGTTCCGAAATGCACTATTGTGGCTACGATGGAGGGTGCTCTTGGTCGCCTCCGAAGCTCCTTTCTTAGTGTCCGCCGGCTTTTCATTTGCCGCCTCGCTCGTAGGTTCAGGCGAAATAGTCAACGATCCATCTCTTTGCCTGTTATCCTTCGGCTCACACGAACTGCTGTCCACTAAGTCTCCGAGTTCATCCAGAGAAAGGATAGTGATCCCTGACCCTGTCTCTAACATCTTAGAGCCTTGCCTTTGTAGGTCCTCAGTCTCCTCCGTCATAACCTTCTCCCTAGGAATTTCATGGTCTTTGTACAGGAAGCTTGGAGACAGAATTGGAAATGTGTCCGATATCTCTCCCCTTTCCATTTTACGTTCCTGTTCAAACTGCATTTTCTTCGAAATGACATTTTTTAGAAGACTTGAGGCAAATATGGACTTTTTGTGCGCGTCATCCATGGCTTCCCCTGCCTCACAGACCTGCTGGCTGGCCTCAGTCCCTGGCTCATCTGGCAGGGTGCCTGTAACTTCATCTGCCGAACGTGAGCCCGCAGCATTTTCCGCAAATTTCACATGCCTGTCTCTGTCGTCAACAGTCGCCCGTATGTTACAATGGAAATTCAGAGTCTCTGTCAAAGTTATCAGGCCGCTCTGCCCTTCGGCGAATTTGCTCTTCACTTCAATTTTCTTTGTGGACGACGATGTGCCACTGGGATCAGGCAGGCTGCTATTCAGAGCAAAAATCTTTGTTTGGGTTCCTTTCTGACTGGGTAATGGCAATGCATGTTTGCCTTTTGCCTCTGAACTACTGTTTATTTCAAACGTCGAAGCTGAACTTTTGTGGGACATATTTTGCTCCCTTCCCTGTGTGAGATTACCGCATTTTAGATCAACAAATGCAGACCACCTGTTCAGCCCCAAGCCGTGCTCTGATGCAGATGACTCGCTGGAGGTGCTGAAATTAATGGCATCGAAGTACGGACAGGCCAAACTCCGAAAAGCCCTGGTCGTTAAATTGCGCACCTCCTTATCCGCATCGTCCATTTCGCTTATTGAACTGGATGCACCACTGGAGTACTCCGCTATGTCTTTCCCCTTTAATTTACTGCCAATATGCAGGCGGCCAGGGGCCGGGATAAAGCAGTTCGCTCTGTCACATGTTGCCTCTGCTTTCACATTTTGGCTTTTAAAAACGTAGCCGTTCAAGTCTCCGTCGTGCTTAGCACAGTAATGCAGGTTTTCATTGTCCGGGCTGTTGCGCCTGTCGTTTATAGCCCTGGAGGCGGTTTTGATTGACAGATGGATCTGTCCCACAGAATTCCCACCGCCGTTCTGGTGCTTTAACAGGATTTCATCCGGACTGGCGCATTTGTCCAAGTCGCACAGATCGTGTTCGTGCTTAGTGCTGACTGCTGCCCCGTTAGTGCGACACAGGAGCGTAGTATTATTAGATTGTCCCTGGTTGCTTTTCAGTTTCGCCACAGTCTTGTCCTCTAATACCTGCGCTTCCTCGATCGTCTCGTCGCTGTCAAAAGAAGCGTAGTCGACGAATGAGTAGACCCGGTTGTCATCTTCAATGTCCCAGCAGGATCCGCCGCCAAAATCGTAATCCACGTCGTGGTCTAACTCTAACAGCTGAATCTCATGGGTCGTGATGTAGTGAGACTCGTCCTCTGCGCAAATAGGGGTGCAGTTTTCGGATAAGACCACGCTTACGCCATCGTCTGATTCAGTTTTCCTGGCCAGATACATATCCGTGTAGCGCAATTCTTCGCTTTCAAACGAAGTATTTTTTGTGTTGTAGCTTTGCCGCAGATAGTCCCGTTTATGCTCCCCTACTGCGTCCCGTTTGTCGGCTGGAACTTCGTCACGGTACCCGAAATCGTTAGGAGAGTCCGGGGAAGACGCTGTTTCGGACGAAAGGTTACTCGCTGCTCTCTTTTCGGGTCTGACGTGCCCGGTATGTTCATCATTATTATATTTACAGTCCTTGGTGGGGATGTAAGCAACATGTTCCCTCCGATTGCAGTCGACTGCTGTCTTGTCCCCTGAAATCGGCGCGTCATTATTGCATTTAATTATAGCCAGTTGGTTCCCCTCCCCAGTAAAAGTAACTTTTACAGTTTTTGTACCTTCCGCTTTCATGGCAAGCAAATCATCCAAATCCACGTATTTCGATTCTTCCTGTTGCGTCCCAGGATTACAAAGACCCTTGTCGGACTGGAGCTTTCTGTAAGGACTGGTGTCTCCTCGGTAAGTTAAAGTTTTCTGGAGCGCTTCCATTCGCTAGGTTCCCCCGATGTTGCAAGGTCTTTGTTGTTATAATTTTAATCCGGGACGCTTCCGAGACGAAAAAGAGTGAGACACAAGTCCCCGGGAATCCCCGCTTCACTCCCCGGTGTACAGTGGAACAACCAGAGTCTCCTAGTGGAGCTGTCGCTCTGCTCTGCCCCTCTCGTCCACAGTTGTTTGTGAGGCGCTCACGGCTGTCATTTCGGATGCCTTTGGTAACAGTAGCAGAGGCGGCATTCCAGCTGCCTGCCTCATATAACAGGACACAAAGCATATGGAAATTCTTACTTTTGCTGCAGACGAGACCGTGTCATCGACCGGGCACCATTTAAAAGCCACACTCTCTCATTGTCTTGTCCCGTATGCAAATCTGTTATTACTCGGGATAACTCGCAGGTAGCTGGCAGCACTAATGGTAAAAAAAAAAAAAGGTTATTCATAATTTCCTGGGAACGTTTTACGATGTGTCAATTAAGAAATATTTTAAAGAGCTATTTTAATCGGTTTGTCATTTAATACTCTTTACTATATATATATATATATGTATATCTGTGTGTGCAGCCTACCATTAGGCACTATATGTAGTAGTACAGCTAGTTTGTTTAATGCATGCATGTAAATATGTAAATATATAAATATGCATGTGTGTGTGTGTGTGTGTGTGTATATAGCACACATGTAGGCTAGCATATATATATACACACACACACACACACACACACATAGTGACGGTGATTAGATGCATATTCATAGTATTATATTGATATTGTATACACGTGAATTTTACTTTTTATTTGTTTTATTTTAGACGTGCATGGGGTTTACTTTTTAAAGTCCTTGTTTTCAAAATAATCATAGTTTAACATTCAGAAACAACGTGCATCTGCTAAGATACGAAAACATCTGTTTTGCAGCTTATTTAAATTTCTTTTCCCTTTCGTGTAGACTACAGGAGTCGTCTGACAGTCCTCTAGTGCAACTAAGGATGGGCGGCAAAGTTTGAAGACTTCTTGTTACGTTTGCGTAATGAAAACTATCGTATTGCACCCAATAATAGCCTATATTACAATTCAGTGTTTTAAAAATATATTAGGTTTTAGGCAATAAAGCTAGTACGTTTAATGCATGCATGTAAAACTCTCAAGGTTAAAGTTGTTAATCATTCGCAAAAAGATATATAAACAATTTGATACCGTTTATAGGTTAGGCTACTTCCACTTTTTTTGGCGAAACATTTAGCGCAAGTTCAGCACCTGAATCAACGAACAGCTCCCTGTTTTAGAAAAACTTCATCTTATGCTGAAAACAAATCTTTTTTTTTTTTTTTTTACATTTTTTTTTTAAACTTAATTCTATCTAGGCATATACAGATAAAAGATCGGTTATAGCACAAATAACTATATAGATAAAAAGTAATCGAGTTTATAGGCTACTTATAGATGCGAAAGTATCTACGATATTGATATGTTTCTGATTTTTGTAAACGCTGTATTTTGGAGTGATGCAGTGCTTGCAATGCACTTTGATACAACGTATTTTACCAGTCACGCAATCAGCCGTCGTCCTCGATTAATCGGTGGCATTTTCATTAATTTTAATACATTTAATTGATAGTATATATGACAAATATTTTTCGTTTAAGTTTTGGAACAGTTATTGCTATAATGGGTACAACACATTGAACAAATTGTTATTAATTATTATCATTTACAAGTTGCCGAGTAATAGTTAATTTGTACGAACAACACAGTTGTTCCTGAACAACACAGATGATATAATGCGAAACCTGATATAAACGCGTCTTTTGAAATGTAAACGTGAACCCGATCATCTGCAATCCGTAACTAGATAATGTTAGAACCTATACAGACACGTAACAATCGGCTCGACGTCGAAACGATTATACCGAATTTTAAGCCAAGCAGGTGACAGGTACCTATGTAGCGAATTCCTCTCTAAAGTCGCGGCCCTATAAATATAGTTCGGCACACGCCCAAGTATGAGCCACTGACCTTTTTACACGGCTTAGCCGCGAAATTTCCATTATGTATAAATATCCATTTATACATAATGGATATGTATAAATCTTAAAAGTGAAACAAAAGTACTAATATTATAGACCGTCTTAATTTAAGCGAAAACAAAACCCCGGTAATACTACACACTGCTCAAACCGTAACTTAATTATTTGTCATCAAATCATCATCATTTTAGTTAGGCCTACATATGAGTACTTCTTTCTGCAGATTATTTTGTGGCATGTTACAGTATGCATGACATCCACCCACTCCACATTCATGGCCACTCCGATTCCTCACCTCCATCCCAGAATGCATTATGGCCAGTGGCTCCTCCTCATTAGCCGGGTGAACTAGCAGGTGTGTCATGTTCTGCTTCTGGCAAGTGCTGCTGGTGGCCTGGTTTGACTCACCAGCCCTGTCGAGCAGCCAGATAAGCAACAAAGAATGGCCATTTCGGAGCCCCCCTCCTCTTTTAAATCCCAGAGTGATGCCTTATGGGAAAAGTGCCTGCTTTTCTGCTTATGGGAGAGAGGGCACCGTGTAGGAGTCTCGCAGTGTTTTACAATACGGTGTTCATGGTTTTTTTTTGGTGAAAAGTGGCTCACATGAGAAGAAGAGCCAGAGAGAGAGAGAGTGCTTCCTGTCAGGCATGATCAGAGCTCAGCTCTCAATTCTAACAGCTGCGAGCTGTTATTAGAGAAAGGCCTACAGGCCTGGAGCTCCCAGGGATCAGCTCTCCCAGCTGAGCATGCTGGGGCCGTCTGGAGAGGCTTGAGCCTGACAAACTGTTCCCTAGGATCGAGGCATTCTTCACCGGGTTAGGGTTAGAAAGAGAGGACTAGGGTTAGCGTAAGACAGTAAACTGTAAGAAAGAGCCACACAAATCAGATTAATGCACGGAATCATCACCTTCTGCCCGTTATTAATATGTCAATAATCCAAAGTAATGAGAAACTGCATTCCATAATCTCTCCCCATGTCCCGAACTTTTTATTTTGGATGTTTCAGGAAGTGAATTATTATTTACCTTCTTTATTTGTCATTGTTTTGCGTGGAATGCTGGTTCAATTTTCAAGGGCTTTTTCGCTTTAAACTGGCAGAAGTGAAACGGCTAGCTGACGTTTGGTGGTGGGCGAGCATGTGACCCTGAGAGTTAGTCCCGCCCACCGCACTGGGCTGCTTTCAGCATGGCCCGACACGGGGGGCGGAGTCCTGGGAGACTGCGGCTGTCAGTCCAGTGTGGTTCTGGCCTCCAGTCCCGCCCCCTTTTTTCCGGATTCACAGTGGGGTGGCAAGGAACCCGACTCCTCAGCCTGCCCGCTTCCTATCCTCACATCCCCCAGCGCTAGGGTTCGTTTTCTGCGCTCCTTTGGTTCATTTTGCTGTTTCTCTAAGTAAAAGCTTTTAAGGCCAGGTTTTCAATTACGTCCGCAAGTGGGATAAATTTAGACAGCTATTTAAAAAGTGGGCTTGCCCACACAAGTATGGAGAGATCAGTTACTTTCAGGGGCTACATTAAAACGACAGGTGGTAAATCATAGTGACCATTCATCATGCTTCTTAGCTAAATCCCGCTTAACTCAAACACGCGTAAAGTGCTTATATTTTTCACTCCCTTCGGTTTTGTTGGTTTTCATGTACGTTTCTGCACTAATAGCTACATGATTTTCTGATGCATGCGGAGGCAGATTAAGACATGGATAGAGGCTCCTGAGCTTCTTGAGTCAGAGGTACATTATGATTTATTAATAATGATTTATTATTTGCTGGGGAACGGGGATGGAGATGGTTGTCAGCCATTGGTGACTGTGGGGGTGTGTTAAAATTTCCTTAAATATGCCCAGATAAACCTGTTTGTGATGTGTGATATTATGGTCAGATGCCACATCCTTCAGCGCTGAACCAATCCTCTGATGGAAGGTTTCTGTCCTACACAGCAGAGCAGCTTATCCTGTAGCCTCTGCTAGATATCGGGATCTAGGAAATGGAGACTTGCCAGTGATGAGCTTTCAAAGGATTTGTTTGACGCCCTCGATTTTGCTGTTATCCTTTGTCAGGCTCTGAGCTTCAGGTCCATGTCAATCACATGAGCTGTTGACCTTGACATACTGTAGAGTGTGAATTCTAATGGACTGGATACGTCCAGGAGTCTTGTGACCCCAAATCTGAATAACCTGTGTGCAAACCCCAAACTCCCATCTGCTGGTTCCTCACTTGCCTACCTACCTTGTGTTTACTCCTCTCTATTGTGTATCTTGCGTCTTGTGTTTATTCTGTCTGTTTATACCCTAGTTGCTACTGTCTATTGTCCAGGGATGTAAACTAGTCATTCGTTGGTGAGTCTGAGTCAAGTCTCGAGTCATTTGCCCTCAAGTCCAAGTCAAGTCCAATTCTTTCCATCATTTTTGCTGTCATCAAATTAATGACTCGAGTCCAAATTGTGAGACATGTAACTTGAGTCCCTACCTATGTGAGTTTTTATTACCTTTAGTGATTAAAACTTGCTACAGCAAAAACCTGCCACAGTACATAGGAGGATATGTTCTTTATAGGTAGAGATGGGTTAAAAAGAGTGTCCACTCATGGTTGTCGTCACACAGTTTTTACATCCATGTATATGCAGGGAGTGATGTGTCTTTCCTACAAACTATCTCAAGAGACTGTGCATTCAGCTAACTGAAAATGCAGACAGCAGGGATTTAATATACACTGAAATTCTAAAATTAATGTTATGGTATCCTGAGGGAGACTATAACCTCAAGTCTTCTCGAGTCACAAGGTCCAGGTCAGGTCCAGATCTCGAATATTTGTCCTCAAGTCCAAGTCAAGTCCAAGTCTTTCCCTCAGTTTTGCCAAGTGGAGTCACAAGTCATCAAATTTGTAACATGAGTCTGAGTTGATTCACGAGTCAGTGACTCAAGTCCCAACCTCTGCTATTGTCATGGTGTCTCCAATAGTAGCAAGCAGTGCCGGCACAAATTGGTCATGTGTCAATAAAGATTCTGACTCTGATGTCCCTTCTCAAAGGCCTGCTGAAGTCCAGATGATGCCACTTGCTGTGTTGGATTTGATTGGACCCTCCCCCAACTCTGCCCTCACACATCCCTCGAGTGCCCAAAAGCGTCGGACTACCACAGAGAAGACAACCACCTGCTGGACTGTAGGAAAAAAACTCGACATACACCCCAGGTGACGTGTTCAGTCACGGGAATTTGAGTGGGTTGACATCATCTTGTTCCACATGATGGCAAATGGGCGTCATAGGAAATGTAAATCTTGGGTGTCGTGATTCATGAGAAATGCCAAGTTGATCCCAGAGGCTGGTGCAAATATGTGAAAGGTAACTCACTCTGTGAGGGGCTCGTGGCTCTTGGTCGGATGGATCATCTGCACTTGACCCTTTGACTCAGCCATAGTTCGCAGTTCTGAGCGAAACTATAGAAGCCGTAGAACAACACGGTCAGGGCTGCATTTACACGTGAGAGTGTGGTGCGTTGGGTCTCACGTAACAGCCTGAAATAATGCAGCTCTGAATCTGGGCTTTACAAACTCCCAGTCTCTTACAATGGACCCCACAAATTTGTTTACTGATTTTTTTTTTTTAAGCGTTACTTTTCTCGGACATGTGACACCACCCGAGAGCTCGTGCCAAGGGTGGAGAAGTGCATCGACCAGTCATGGGCCAATATCACCATACTTGTCACCCGGAAAATATTGTCACCCTGGCAGCACTCTGCTTGGGCCCATGGTTGTAAACACCTTTATAAATATTTAAATCATGATTTGGCAGACGCCATGATATTAAAAGATGGAATGTGTTCGCTGAAGCTTAATGGCGCATGTACCACTGTAAGCTTTTATAGAGATTCTTACTACAGAACTGCAAGCATGTTACTAAGCTGTAGGTCCAATGGTGATGAGGACATTTTCGTTTGGAAACAGTGTATCCAAGTAGGAGAAGAAGTTGAAAATGCTGGGGTCTGCATAACATTTGCTAATGGTTTGCTAATGAGGGCTTGGTATGGGCATAGATTCCACAGGGAAGGAATAGCCTAGACATGCAGTATATATATACATCGATTGTAAACTTTCAAGGATTTCTTTAGTGGAAGCATATTTATGACTCTACAGTCGCCATTAAAATTAATCCCTTAGAGCCGTTTTACAGGTACAAACTTTTTTTTAAAGGTGTCAATCCTTATGCTACAGTACAGCACCAGTAAACACTGCAGCTGATATTGAAAGAAAAGGTGAATGTAATATTATATTGTAAGTACGATGCATACTTTTTAATTAATAAAATACTTATTTATGTCGGATTTTGATGCTTGGAAAAGTATTTTATCAGGCACTTACATGTGAATTTCATAGACTAATTTTTCAGTTTAGCTGTAAAGTAGATTTACTCTAGCAATAAAACAGAAGTTACCGGAATGGGTGATTTTAAGTCATTTAAACAGAAAATACATTTCTCTGGCTTGTCCAATTGCCATTGTTATATAAATACAGTACTGTGCAAAACAGTCTGTTGGTGTAAAACTGTGGTATTTTGCCTGTGAAACTATGTCAGCTTAGTCATTTCAAAACCTCTGCTCAAGTCACACCAGTTTTGCAGCGACCGTCCAATACACCCATGTGTCAATATCTCATTGAGTATTTAACTACTTAAATTAATTAAGTGAGCTTAATGTAAGAAATACCTGGAATGGCTGTGGTGCCCCTGAGGAGAGGTTTGGGAACTGAAGTGGTGTTCATCTAGCCATCCACTATCATTTTGGTAACACTTCACTTGATGGGGCACAAATACTTAGTAATAACTCGGTTACTACTGAAGTACAAATCTTGAACAAATTATGAACAAATATAGTTGCTACTTTGTGATAAATGATGGATCACGATTCATTAATGATGAACAAACATGAGATCAGTATTTAAACTTGTGCTACTCATTATTTGTTCCTTCAGTAATTCCTTCAGTAGTTCACAAAGGTTTACAGAATTGACAGATATTGTGACAAATACACTAACTGCTTGGGATGAAAGATGCATCATGATTTATTAATGATGAACAAATATGAGATCCATATTTAACTAAGACTTAGTTTGTGGTTAATTAATACATAATAGTATATAATAGTATAATAATAGTATATAGAATAATACTATATTATTTGTGCCCTGTCAAGTAAAGTGTTGCCAAGATATCAGTAATCACTAATTTTTACTAGTTTTTATTGTGTTACTCTTACTTAAAAATACATTATTTCTAAGTGGAACATACTTGCATATGTTCTAATGTTAAATTGTTTTTTTTTTTTCCTGAGCAGATATACACTTACTACTCAGATAAACAGCCTTAATCATTTCTTTTGACTGCCTAAGACTTTTGCACAGTACTGTATATATAATCAGAGTGTTTATCTTCAGCTGCGTGACTTTCTGTGCAAAGCTGGTGGGCGACTGTAGTATTTCAGATCCCCTGTAACCTGGGGCCATATTGCAGTCGGGGGCTGTTACAGTAGCTGCCAGATCCACGCGGCTGTCTAGGGGGCTATATTAGGGGCTCGGTCCGGGGCAGCCGAGACTGACACAGAGAATTTGCTTTCACAGAAACATGAATCACCAAACCCTTCCTATAGACACACATCACTGCATGATTAATGTGTCGCAGAAAATGTATGTGTTTCTTTTCTATGCTCATTCTTTTGTGTATGCTAATACAATTATTTGCCAGCATAATGCACATCACTTAAAGAACAATGTATACTTGTCTCAATATTTGTCGAAATGTTTGCCTTGCCTTGGCAAATGGAACTTTGGGACAGCTTCCTATGTCTTGTAAGCATGGGATGGAAGAGCAATTGGCCTGTTAACAGAAGAAGCAAAGAGGTGACACATATATCAATGCAGTTCTGTTAAGTTCCTGGAGTCCCGTTCCTTTAAGGGTCCTGTACCTTTAAGAAAAAGTCAGTCTGGACACAAGGCTGTCATCAATACTCTGGGTAGTGGAAGGCATCTATGGTTGTCTCTTCTAGCTCCAGAGTCTCAATTACACATCCGTCTGTGGAACACTGACCTCCAGGGGACCCACGAGGGCCGCAGGGTAGCCGGTGCCCTGACCTTATGGGCAGACGCGACGCCTCAAAGCACAGCTTGGCCACACTGCCGGAGGTTTCTGTGCCCCACGGTGACCCAAACGGTCTGCTACCCTTCTCAGCCAAATTCAGCTCAGACTAGAGACGCCATGTGCTCAATGGGGAGACTCCTGCTTATTTGTGCTTGCCAGAGTCCAGGGGCAAGAAGTCAGAGGCGGTCAAAGGGGCCTTTCCGTCCCCACTGAAAGTCAGGAACCCAGGAGAAGAATTGAGCAGTCAATCCCGGCGTTTTTCAGCCTCACCAACAGAGGGCGCCATTACGCAGAATGTTTATTTATTCACATACACTGCACTTCATCAAGTTATTATGTTGAAGTCAACTCAGTTTATTTTTATATAGGGCCTCTTGCAACAGAGAAAGAAAGAAAATCAGATATCAGTGGAGGAGAGGAACCAAAAACACCGAAGTAGGGAAAAAAAATCTTCTGGGGGTCAAAGGTCAGCTGGCTGCATACAACCCCACTGCGCCCCCCCCCCCCCCCCGGGCAGGCTAACATTCCAAGAAAAAGAAAGAGTCGGCTTGTTTGCTAAAAGCAAGTTGTACATTGCGGTAAAGCTTTACAACATACACGTATTCAGCTAGGCAGTGCTTTAACATCTCCTGAATTTCACCTAGAGTGCTTAAGTTCTAGTGCCTTCAATACACTGGGCTTATTTCCATCGTCTTCCAACCATTTGTTGCACCGATTTCCTTTCTGGTCTCGTTCTCCTCTTGCCCTGACGTCACCTCCTCCTCTCCCTCTTCTGTTCCTGGTCTCACCTCTCCAACATGAATTCCTCTGTCAAACCGATATTCCGCTCCCCCGGCCTTGCAGGCTGCTTCATCCTCTCCCTCCTGCCCCCGGGCCTTTTGCTCCCCCCTCACCCTGCGCCCTCTGGCACTGGCCCCCCCTCCGCATACTTCTGCGCCCACTCTGTCTGCCCCCCTCCCTCCTTCACTGCCCTGCCTGGCTGGCATGACAGGTGTATGAAACCATGACATCAGTCGTAGATTTTAGCTCCGTGACGTGAAGGATGCAGTTGCTCAGAGCTGAACTGCCCACCCTCCCAGGACCACGGCTGAGCCTGTTAATCAAGGCCACTTTTAGCCTTATAAGTTCACCTGAAATACAGCCCTGTCTTCAGGGACTGAATCCATTCCTCATTTACATTTAATTCCGTACATAAAGAAAGGATTAAGGATAAAGGATGTTTTATTGCCAATTACTGTCAAGGAGCAACCTGTGGTACTCAGGTCCGGTACAGGTCGCAATGATAAAATAGAAATAAAATCCAAAATAATAATTCAATGAATAAAATTAGGTAAAAATAAATAATAAAAATAAAATAATAACACTAGGATAAGTAAAAACAGAATGTAAAGGAGAGGGTGAAAGGAAGGACCACCTGGTTCCACTAGAGGGCGCCATCATAAACTGAGTCCCTTAAACAAGACGTTAATGTATCTTGTTAAATCCTTTGTAGCATTATGTATGATGCCAATTACATTTCTCTTGAAATTGAATAATACATATTGCATTGACAATGACGAACGCTTCTCTGTGACTGATCTTGTTGTTTTGTAGCGTTACTTATTGTAGAACAAAATTTTTCTATAATCTAATCTGGGGCATAGGACCTGGGGGGTGTACCCCCAATATTTAATTTGACTTAATTTGTCCCCCCTATAAATAGACCTTTGCCATTAAATTATTAGGTTGTGCCCCTCCCCCCCCACCAAATCGAACTCTATCCTACATTGAATCCAAGTATAAAGTAGATCTAATTACTCCTGTCCATATAGAGCTGTACTATAGTTTTACTCCAGTTTATGACCCTGTTCTGGATAAGCAATTGGAAGGTGAACACATGGATGGATGCACTGATATTTTTAGCACACAACAACTAATTTTATATGAAGATTATGTTCGTAGGCTAGTGCATCAATAAATCCAGTGACTGCTCTTCAAAGATACAGATGATATTGAGTATCGTCCGGTGCTAATTTTATATCATGATCTATTTTCCTTATGGCAACACCTGTGATTCTCTCAGGAGGAAATGACATCACTGTGCTTTATGGGTATCTATCTGTTGTCAGAGTACTCTCTTTTCTCCTTGTATATTTTAGCACTATGTTCTGTTGAACCGAGTGACCATGAGGCTACTTTGGATACAGGACCATGTTAACCTCCCTCGGGTATGTAATTGTCTGTAGCTGCTCTTGGATTGGTGTTTTTTTTTTTTTTACTAATAATCCCAGTAGTCCATTCCATTCATAAAATGATCTCATATGACTGTGGTAACACTGCTCTCAGGCTGTAAGATGTAAGGACATCACTCATGAACTGGCCTGTGCGGATTTAACTGAGCCCGTCTCTCCTGCCCAGGGGAGGTTGTCTGATCTCCAGCAGCCAGGTACTAGAGGTCACGTTCCTAGCTATTTTTAGAGCCCATGCAGGACCTTGGGGGACATCAAGCTGTCATGGTATCACCTCCCTATAGCCGCCCTGCCATGTAAACCCACACTGAGGCATAATGCCCCTCAGAAAAGCAGAGGCGAGTGTTTTGAGTGAATTATTTACAGCAGGAGTCATGCTGATTATCTCTAGGTGGCTTCCAATTTAAATATGGCTTTAGTGGTCCTCCTGTGAGTCTCTTCTATTATATGCTGAGATAAGCTGCAGATTTTCCTGACAGTTATCCCTAGGAAATGGCTTCTGGTGTTTAACCCTTCGCTTGCTATTATTTAGTTAACTTTGCTTAGGTTGGAAGGTTGTAAAAGGGGGGAAAAAATCCGGTAAATTTCTGAAAACTTTCCTGGAACATTCCATGGGATGTAGAGATGCAAATGGCAGAAACTTTCCATGTGGACACTGTCATCTAAAAATCCCATATTGGAGTGGCCGGTTTATGAAGTGTTTGTACGGGAGGGCTGCTGTGTATCATGTGACTGTCCCTGTTTACCTTACTTTGTCTCACCAGTTCATTACTGTGATTGTCTGTTTGCATCATTGCATATCGCATTGACTTCCCAGAGACCCCTGGGGCTGTTCATGACAGAAGTACACTTACCCATAGTGCTCCTTAAAGGGGAATCACTATGTAAATTCTTTCCCTAGTGTTATTTTATTCCAAGGCAACGTGCTATATGAAAGTTTGGGTCCTTCAATGGATCTAGGCTCCCTTTCCCAGCACCAAAACACTTCCCCCGTTCTCTGTATACACATGTGTGCCTCATTGCTTCTGTGTCTCGTCATCATTATTTGCCGCACAGTGTTCTTGTTCCTGTTCCTGTTTTGCCCTCACAGCCAGAATCAAATTACAGTGATAGGAACACAGGCACGTCCGTTTTTGTCATCGCCGTTACTTAATAAACTGGTCAAGGGGCAGTGAAAGTGCTTTTTGCTCGGTTATTGGGCAGAGGGCCTGGGGGACATCTAGTGGTTCGGGAGTCTTAACCAGGGGCAACTCAGGTCTGCCGAGGAAGAGCAAAGCCCTGCTGCTTACGAGAAGCCGAGTGTCCCATCTTTGAAAGCATGAGATGAGGAACTTTTGCAAGCACTGCAATGGCCGAGCTCAGCCTCGAACGATTCATGTTTACGCACATTTCGTACCGTTTCTGCAGCTTGCATTTGCTGAAACGGAGAGTGCTCTGTTACTGTGAATCCACTGAGCTTTGTTAATATAAGCATTTTATTTTAAAGTATTCTAAGCAATTAAGCATGTTTGTGACCATAACGAACCGCAGAACGGTTAGATGAGCTTTTACGGTCTGCTCAGTATGGTAAAGAATGACTTAAGGGGTTAGGTTGTAGGTATTATGGAAATAAATGGTTTCACAAATCATGAAGCTTTATGTGTCTCTTAGCGTTTCTGATAGGGCACTGAGACTCCCTGTTTGAGACTGATAAATAATAGTAATAAATTCCTTGGCTGGTCCATTAAAGCCACAGCCACCCTTAATGGGTGTTCATTTCGTATTCGCTCAGGTTTCCACCAGCTAGGCTAAAACTTGCTCTCTACTGTTACCTGTGAAAATACATTATATGGGTGGAAGTATTGGGACACCTGGCCATTATAACTAAGGAAACTTTTACAACAACCCATTCTAAATCCGTAGGCATCAATATGGAGTTTGTCTCCCCTTTGCAGCTATAATAGCGGCCACTCTGAAGGTTTTCCACAAGATTTTGGAGTGTGTCTGTGGGAACTGTTGCCCATTTAAACCACTCCATCGAATGCTTACCATTGCGCTGGGTCACGTGAGGGTTTCATGCAGTTCCTCAGCCATGAAAGCCCATTTCACGATGTTAGGAGGATGTATCCAGCAAGATTGTTGAGAACCAAGGATTCTTGAGGAGGAACCAAAATTTTACAGGGGGGTCAGTGTGGGTCTGAGAACCAGAGAAGCGAGATGATGGGTGGAGAGGTGAGCTGTGGAGATCAGGACCAGAGGGAGCTTGTGGAAGGACCTGGAGTAAATGCCCATGACGAGGGAGCTACAGCAGTTAAGGAGGCTGGAGATGCATCAGAAATCAATGGGAGATCCCTCAGGGGCAACGCCTGCTCGCAAAAGGCCTGCGAAGGGCCTGACATCATCATCGGCTGCATTAAAAACTCATCATCATCATTCATTGTGCAACATGGATGTTAAAACGTACAATCCTAAAGTATAATCCAGGAACGTGTCCAGAGGTTCACCGAGGGTCAAGTTCAAGTTTCAAACGTCAACTTTTATTGGTCACGTTCTCTGCCTTGTAATCATAGTGTTGTGCCACGGAGCGGGCGACCAGGAAAGCAGGTGAGAGCAGGCAGATACAATACAATGACGGAACTGGGGACTACTGACTTAGACACGGACTAAATACAGGAGACAGGCTAAGGGTAACGAATCACAGGTGAGAACAATCAGGGAATCACACGAGGTAACGAGGTGGGCGTGGCACACATTGGGAGCGGACGATCGGGGCATGACACATAGCTTCTGGGATGGGCTCAGGACCCCCTGTGACCCTGAATAGGACAAGTGGATGCGGAGGATGAATGGATGGACAGAAGACAAAATGACTGCTGAATAGACAATAGAAATAGAGAGCAGTATTCAACAGTAATGAAATTATATACAATTTACAACATGGAGTATAGAAGTGTTTAAAGTGATAGTGCAGTTGAAATATACAACTTAAGTTCCTGGAAAGTTCAGCAGAGCACGGTGGTGATGAGGAGATAGTCAAAGAGATCCTTAGAGATCTTCCTCAGGCACTGATGAAGGTGGCTGCAGCTGGGCCCGGTATGATCTGCGGGATCATCTCTGCCCCATTCTGTCACGCTGCAAAGAAGTTTGGGGGTGGGGGGGGGGGGGTTATTTTTGTCTGCAGATGCCAGCAGTGAAATGCGCCAGTGAGAAAAATACTTGCAGCCCACACCTGCCTGGCGTGTGCCCCGATGCAGCAAAGCTGCGCTGTTACTCTCTGCAGTTCTGGACCGAGCTTCAGGGAAAGTTCCCTCTCTGCAGAAAACATAGCTAATCACCTGCACCTTCCAGGATTCTGCTCGCCGCCCCCCCCCCCCCCCCAGTGAGGGCTCCCCTGGATAGTGCTTCACATTAGAGGAACCTAGACAGACACCCACTGGTCACCACACTGCACTGCTCATTGGTGGCTGGTCTCCAAGAGGAGCTGTTTGGTATTCTATCCCAGCTTTACATACCTGAACATCTGCCAGTCATTCCAGAAATATTCCACCCCTTTTTTCCCCCAACAAAAAGTCCTACATTTAAAGGAAACTAGCAAACTAAATGGAGTTGAAATATTCACAAAACTACCCAAGCAATTATAAAACATATAACAAGCCCTACAAATCCTGTAACTATCTACAAGCTGAGCGTTTACCTTAATACTGACAGTGAAGAGAGGAGCCCAGACACCATTAATCAGTTTAATCAAGTCCTTCATTGACCATTGTTAATAAGCTACTTGATGCCTTTGACAACCATCTCAGTGGCATTAATTTAGCTACACTTGAAGCTAAGGAAGACCCCATGATCACATTCCATTCAGGTGCCTTATAAATGAACAAATAAGTGATCATTATATACCTGCCCATGTCTCACTTGATGTCAAGCAGGGTTCGACTGGGATTAAAAACTAGGCCTAGATGTTGGGGTCCCCTGTAATGGATTTTGCTGATCGCGTTGGAGGTGTGGGTGGTTCCCCATGATAACTTTTGCAGAGCAATAGATCTTGCCGACCCCAAGATTAATTTTGCCGGCTCACGCGCCCATCAGCCCGATGGGAGGATGCCCGTATGCCAGATGGCCAATGAAGATCTAATGCCAGGCATGTATTTTTAAAGGGATCAAATCATGCTGAGCTGTTAATTAGCATCTAAATGTTTTTTTAGATGTTATTTCAGACTAAATGGCACCATCAGTGCTGTGACCCCATGCCCGATGAGGGGTTGGAAGATGGATGGGTAGGCGGTGATATCCGAGGGCTCTGAAATGACGATGCACGCGCTCACAAGGGTCCGGGGGGCGGCCCAGCCCATCGGATCTGGACCCACCGTAGTGTGAAAACTGCGGCGCCTCCCACCTCCTTGCCTCCTCTTTGCAGACACGGAGGAGCACTCAAAGCACAGCTCCCCCCTTTTTTATTTTTCCAGACTGCCCTGCCTTCCTCCAGCTGGTACCTGCCTCTGCATTTATGGCAATATAACCCCCCCCCCTCTGCCCCGTGCGCTGATGAGGCACCATTTCCTGCCGGCGCTGAATTCCCTGGCCATCCGCTGCTGACTCGGCACAGATATCCCACAAGCTGAGGCCAGGTTGCCTTTGCTACACTTTCTGTGGCCACTAATCATCAAGCCCTGCATCTGCGGGAGCTTCTCGCTCTCTGATGTGCGTCTGGCCTATGAGTTTGCTTCAGTTCCCTGTTCTTTATACCTCGTAGCTACATCATGTATAGATGCAACCCCTGCATGTCATATATATATATATATCCAAACATATATGTGTTATGTATAGCTGGGGTACGGAGCGAGGAAACAGGGTAAGAGGTTTAAGCAAAGGCAGGGCAACGATCAGAAGACAACTATACCACAGATAACGTCAGTGACCGGACTGGGGGAAACATACTCTAACGTGGACTTAAATACACAGGACTAATTAACAACAACGAGAAACAGTTGGTAACAAGGGGATTCCACACGAGGTAGCGAGGGAGGATCGGACGAGCAGGGCATGACATATATGGATGTATGGATGTGTAGGTATGTATATATGTAGATGCATGTATGTGTGTGTGTGTGTGTGTGTGTGTGTGTGATAAATATACCCATAGCTAGAAATACATTTCATGGGGTGTCCAGCAACCACCCCAGTAGGTCCCCCTTGGTATATGCCGACTGGCGGCGCGCAGGGACGGGGTCAAGCAAATCTTGGGGGGTGAATTCAACTCAACGGTAATTTTTACTAGCAGGCTATGTGCCGGATATGTCATACGGAGAGCAGCTGGTTGACATGCACCTCAGTGTCCCAGTAGAAACCTGTGCGTATAGAGACCAGCCCTCATAACCAAGAATCACAAGTACTGATAGTTAATGCTGATGAAAGCGAATGGACGGTGCACCATATCAAAGAGTACTATCCCTTTAAGACGCTCAGGGTCATATAAATATAACACTGTGCGTTGTTGGACGCTCTGTTCTTACGAGTTGTGTTTGGTAATGTTATCCTCATCTGCATATACTGTATTAAAACACATTGTGGTATCTATTAATACACCGGAAAAAAAGCATCACAATAGCTGTACAAAGGGTCACTCTAGGCCTTCAGCTCCCCTTCAGGAGAGTTCAAGGTCGAACACCCTCCCCTTTTATGCCACGTCTTTGCCCTAACCTGTGACATTTCCTGTTAATTGGATGAGCTTTTTCAGTATAACTAATAACACTTTACTTTAGTACACAAGTAATTTAGTATTATACTATTACTTATGTATTAATTAAGTCTTAAATACATACAGATTTCATGTAAATTCATCATTAATTAACTGTGATGCATGTTTTTTCAGACGAAGTTACTATATTTGTTAATTCTGTAAACCTTTTTAAACTACTGAAGGAGCAAGTCATGAGTAACACAAGTGAAATACTGGCCATGTTTGTTCATCATTAATGAATCGTGACGCATCTTTTATCTCAAGTAGCACCTATATTTGTTTATGATTTGTTCATGATTTGTACTTCAGTAACTCAGTTATTATTACGTATTTGTGCCCCGTCACGTAAACTGTTACCATATAATGCTAATGATACATCTCAACTGGTGATAACACAAATCCCCATATGTAACCTCAGTGAATGTAATCTGCGAGACCCTTTCATGCCAGTCACGACACCTTCTGGCAATATCGTTACTGCCAAGGATCATGTGAACCTCAGCCCTAACTTACTGTATATCTTCACATTTCAGACCAAAGTAACTCTGAGATGATGCTTTTCTGTACCAAGATGACTCAACATCCCGTCAAAGAGCAGCCGTCACTGAGATGCTGTATCATGAATCGGTTCCAGAATAGCTCACGACCCTATACTCCGAAATGTCACAGAAATGTCACAAGTTGAAGCAGTTCTTCATAGAGAACTTTAGCCAAAAAGCTTTCAGGGACTGATCTATTAGCATAGATAGTCTTTGTTAGCTGCTACTAATGGTAAACAGTTAGGCTTCTCAGTAAAGGGATTATTTTTGTCATCTGGAAACACTGCATTGTGCACAAGTTTGTAAATAAAATTATATTATTTACTGAGGTAAATCCATTCTGTTGAACATTTTGTATTAGTTCATGCAGGTTTCTTTTAAACTAATTTTAGTTTTGATAGAAGATCTGACAACTAAAAATCGGACGGAGGTATTTATATTTTGTATACAGGCCGAGTTAAAATATTCTTAAGTAAACGACACATCTGGTGCAGTTGTAACACAAGCACTTTTCAGCCTCATTACATTATTTCTTTAGTTGTATCGTACACATCATTCAAAATGATTAAAACTCGTAACGACTTAATTAACAAACTAAAACATATTATTACCCATATTTTTTTAGAGAAATGTTTTTTGCTTAACAGAAATTCCCAAACGCATGTGCAGTTAATACACTGCAAGCGGGTTTGCACCAATAAGTTGCACTTTAGCACGTTTCCAGTCCGCTCGTGGAGATGCGCGCGAATATGCAATGTCATTTCTGCACCACCCATTGCTGTCCATCCTTCTGTTCTACTCATTCTTCGTTCATTATGTAAAAATTTCCCTCCCAGGCCGTCTACCAACCACAACTTGCATACTGGGGTGGATAAATAATTCGCATGAATATATAAATAAATAAATGTGGGAAGAGGCTGCAACTGAACTGCTGATGTCAGGACTCCAGTGCAGCACTGCACAGCGCAGGCTGGGGGCGAGCCGCTTTCTGCTCCGGCGTCTTTTTCGTTTCACGCATTTGAACATCTGGAAACCAAGATGTCGGTAATCAAACGCTGCGGTCTGCTTTGCACCATCCTGCTCTGTCTGGCTCCTGCAGTTCATCCCAAAAAGATATTCCGATGTCCTTCTGCATGCGCCTGCTCCAAAGAGTCTATCGTTTGTGTCGGATCCTCCAATGTCCCTCGCATCATCCCCAACGACATCAACTCACTGTAAGTATTCTGCAGATGATTCACTGCAAAATGCCATTGAATGTCTTAAGTTATCTTTTTACGGTTTAATAAATGTTGCGGCACCATTTTAACTGTTCAGACATTTAAATGTTTGCGCTGGTGGATTTTCCGGTCCTTTAAAATAAGCTGCATTTTTGAAAGTCATTTAATGCACAGTACAGTATGCCTCAGGGTGCATGCTAATTAGAATTTGTCAGTTTGATGTCTTTTTGTAATTGGTCTTATTTACCGTCTAGCTTATGACCTCCGATTATGACATTGTCGCTTGGGGAAAATTTACGTGTTTGCACATCATATTAATTCTTTCAGGAGTATCGTCAACGGGACCTTCCCTGAGATCAAAGAAGCTATGTTCTCCCACATGCCTTCTTTGCAGTTGTTGTAAGTAAACTTTTAATGGGTCAGAACATTTTCTGTTCAAGATATATTCAGCTGCTGTCCATGTACATTTTGCAGTACAATGTCTTTGTGTGGTAATGAATTCTATTAAGCACATGTGTTTGGTTAAATGTGACCAGCAGGCTATGGGGAACACGCGGCAGTGATATTGATCTGCAACCAACACGGAGAGCAGAGATCTTAAGCATTTACTAATTAGCCAGTCTTAGTACATCCGGCTACCTCCACGAGCATATTTCAATTCAAGCCAAAAGCGTTGCACAAAGAATTTTTAATGCAGATAGTCTGTACCAATACAATCTCACCTAGACGAGACTAATGGGCTACTGTCATACTTTTCTTGTTTTACTAGTGTGCTCTATCAGCAGTTACTGCACACAGTTATGTGAAAGGACTTCATCTGAGTGGAACAGGAGAAGCACCATGCAGTAAATTGTACTAGAACTTTGGAGAGTTTGTGTTCCAGGGGAGAAGCTGTTCCGTTTTTTTAAAAGCTGGATCTTAATAGCATTTCTATCAATGGCAAGCAAAGATCTTTCCTAATTAACAAGGAGCAGTGAAATGGCTAATTGGGTTGAGATGCGATGGCTATCCCACTTGGGTCCAGGCATGGAGACCAGCAAAGTTCATTCTGATCAGGGCGAGGGGCCCCCACCCTGGATAACACGAATAAGACCCCCACAGAGCTACAGCTGCGTGCACCACGCTAACGGAGATGACCGTAATTAACATCGCACTGTTGCACAATGAGACCTTGAGGTGGCAGAAAAGTTATTTTCACCAAACCTTCTGTTTTCTAGTTCTGCTCTTTAATATTTTCTTGTAAGCATATACTGGAGATCATTTGGAACCATGGCTAGCTCTGTTGGGTTTACGGCAACAGCTATAATAAATGTATACAATTAAAAATTTTTTCAGATTTCATTTTGTCACTTAGGTGAGCTTGTTAGATGTTTAAGGTGGCCGGTCGCATGGAATGAAAGGCAAAACAGCGGGAGCATCCCTCCATCCATCAATCCATCCATCCATCCATCCATCCATCCATCCACACAGACACATACCCGAACACCTACCCACCAGCACTGCCTGTCTTTGGAAGTCAAAGCAGACTTGGAGAGATACTGCAAGCAGGACAGACGCCCAGCCTGGTGGGGTTTAAACCACAGCCCCCCGGTGGTCTCTGAATATATATTAAACTGCAACTTTACAGGTTGTTCAGCATGATATTAGGGGGGTGGGGGGGGGGTTGTTATATCTGTGCCTGACCTGCTAAATCCCTTGAGTTTGATTCAGAGTATATTTCTAATACATCATTTTCTATCCCCACAGGCTTCTTAATTCAAATTCCTTTACTGCCATAAAAGACGATGCCTTTTCCGGCCTGCCGCATCTGGAGTATCTGTAAGTTTCTGTTTGCACACTATCAGAAAAAAAAAGTATCTTTGAGGGTCCAATTACTTGTCATTGGGGCTGGACCCTCAAGGGTTTGCCAATTGTACCCTAAGTGTAGGTAAATGTACCTTTCAATTTAATAGTAAATAGTCTAATTTAAGGTACAGAAACGGACTCTGATGAGTGCTTTTGTACCATTGGGGGTACACAGGGCTGTAGTCAGGATTTTTAAAATACCAAGGATCATGGTTATTGGAGTTGTAGAAAAAATACTGAGGACTTGATCTCGGTGTCCTCACTGGTAAGAATGGGCATACAGTAATGTTCTTTGTACCTTGGGGAACAAAACTGTTCAGGAAGAGTTCTGGTCCAGGAAGTACAAATCCAGACCGAGGTTTTGTTTTGACCAACAAGTTGAGTATAAAGAGTGACAGTCACAGTGTGGTCAATGTGTTGGTTGAAGCAAAACCTTGGTCTGGATTTGTACTTTCTGGACCAGAACGTACCACCTCTGACCAAAGTTCGATAAAATGAGATTTAATTAAGGCTAAAATGCACAGAGATACCTGTATGACTCCTCGGCCTCCGGCTTGGTCCCTTGTGCTCCGCTGTCGTCCTCTGTCCTCTATGCCGTGCCGCTGAAAAACATTCCTTCAATTTGCCAGGTTCATTGAAAGTAACAAGATGGAGACCACGACCAAGCACGCCTTCCGAGGCCTGCGGGACCTCACACACCTGTGAGCCACCGTCTCCTGTCATACGTCACCATCTCTTACTCTGTGCCACCATTCCTCAGAGACACTCGGCCATTCTCCAAGCCTTTCCTGTTTCCTGTCCGGCTCTTTTTGCAGGTCTTTAGCAAACAATAATCTCAAGGCTCTTCCGCGGGACCTCTTTAACGACCTGGACTCCCTGATTGAACTGTAAGCGGACACTTTCTTCGTCTTGTATGCACTTATTGTACTTAAGGGCATCCTAAAATTGCGTTGCTTATAATGACTTGGCTGCTTATGCAGTGAAGCGTTAATGTAACTGTAATAGACACAAAGAGTGTCCTCATTTCCTGCTCTGCATGCCTGCCAGTATTTGGTTGTGGAAAACGGGGAGATTTTGCCAAAGAGTACAAAGGTACGGGGGGTAGAAGATCAGGAAAAACCCAGGGAAATTTGGAAGTGTTGGTAGTAACTTTTCAGCTGGGACTGTTGGGGGTACCAGTCTCAAGCAATGATTGAAGTGCCAACCTTGTGGTGTGGTGTCATGTGACCGCAGATGTTTCCTGTGTCATGTGACCACTGGCATCAATATGCTGTGATCCCCGGTCTCTTACACTGGGTGTCCGCCCAACGTTTCCCATCTCTCCACCTCTTCCACATGCGGCAGCGACCTCCGGGGCAACCTGTTCGAGTGCGACTGCCGGGCCAAGTGGCTGATGGGATGGCTGAAGAACACCAACGCCACAGTGTCGGACGTGTTCTGCGACGGCCCCGCGGACATGAAGGGCAAGCGGCTGAACGACCTGGCCAGCCTGCGCAGCGAGTGCATCTCCACCGGTGACGACCGCCTCACCCCCCCTCCCTTACTGTGGGCTTCACGTTCCAAAATGCTACCTGCTGATTTTTAAAGATCTGATTTTTAAATTTGGCTTAATTTAACTTGATTCAGCTTTTACTATTATTATACAATTTTCAATCTAGTTGCAAAATTGCCTGTAGATGTGAATGTGTGTGTGTATGTGAATGGTGTGAGTGTGTGAATGGTGTGAGTGTGTGAATGGTGTGAGTGTGCCCTGTGATGGGTTGGCGCCCCATGCTGGGTTGTTCCATGCCTTGTGCCCGTAGCCTCTATGACCCTGACAAGTGGGTACGGGAAACGGATGGATGGATTTCGATTGAGTTTTTATATGTTTTAGGTTCAGTTCAAGCTTTAGTTATTTTATTTCTAGGGACAGACTGAAAGTTGTTGAACTATTTTTTTGTGTCTGATCTTCAGAGAATCGATCAGGAATATACAGTGCGTATTATATACAAATGACCATTATATACACATGTCCTCAAAATAGGCAAAACATGTTCCTGGTATTATTAATGATCATTACAAATCATTACTTTAGTTAAATATTTTCTAAAACTGGTAATGGAAAATATTTAACGTTTGTTTTTATTTTATTCCAATCACTTCCAGAAGTAATGTTTGCATGTTTTCATTTAGTTGTAAAAACCCTGTTTTGCAGCGCAGCCATTATGCTGGTTTGTATGTATCCGCAGTAACGACCATGGTTAGTTTTCAGGAGCCAGTAGCTCATCCATAAAGCCCCATTGATCTTACAGCGCACATCTGCAATTTGCGCTTGTGCTACAAAGATTCTTTGTGGGCCCTACTGCCTCACAGAGTATAGAGCAAGGAATCCGATGTATTATAAAATTTGCAGCCATCATCATTTGCATGTGCCTTGTTATACGGACCGCTAGATGATGAGGTATTTAGTAGACAGACAATGTTATCAGCATCACATCTGAGATTTATGGAAGGGTCACATTTTCAGAACTAAGAGCGTCGGCAGTAGTTCTGTCGTAAATATTCAAAAATAGCCCACAGAAATGAATTCTATAAATTCACTTTTATGGGATACAATACCCTCTCTGTGCAGACTTTGTCCTTCATCAGTCAGTGGGAGTGGAGTCGCTCTCCACCGACACCTTTTCATATAAGAACGATGTTTACGTGGCGCTCGCTGCCCCCAACGCAGAGGGCTGCATGATCATGCAGTGGGACCACATTGAGATGAACTTCAGGACGTACGACAACATCACAGGTCAATATCCCTCCTTCCAGTTTTTATACTATAAAGAGAACCTTAGAAATTGCCCACCACTTGACTGTTAGATGATGGTGCGGAAATAAATCTTTATGAATTAAATTTTGCCTTAACAATCGCTGAATGTAACATTGTAAGACAGTAACTTTTGTCTGACTTTGAAACTCAGGCCAGTCCATCGTTGGGTGCAAGTCTGTATTGATCGACAACCAGATTTTTATCATTGTGGCCCAGCTTTTTGGTGGCTCCCATATATACAAGTTTGACGAAGACCAGAACAAGTTCACCAAGTTCCAGGACATCGAGGTGTCCAAAATATCCAAACCCAACGACATCGAGACATTCCAGATAGCTGATGAGTGGTTCTTTGCGATTGCTGACAGCTCGAAGGCAGGCCTGTCCACGCTTTACAAGTGGAACGGCAAGGGCTTCTACTCAGTGCAGACGCTCCACGAATGGTTTCGGGACACAGATGCCGAGTTTGTCAACATGGATGGTAAGGCCTACCTCATCCTGGCCAGCCGTTCCCAGTGTCCAATCATCTACCAATGGAACAGAGGCACCCAACAATTTGTACAGCACTTTGAAATCCCCAACATGGAGGATGTGGTGGCTGTCAAGGCATTTCAGATGAAGGATGAGCTTTTTCTAGCCATGACACGCTACATCGGTGACTCCAAGGTTCTTCAGTGGACTGCAAGGCGCTTTACAGAGGTACAAGCCCTACCTTCGCGTGGCTCCATGATTCTACAGCCCTTCTCCTTCAAGGATAGGCACTACCTGGCCCTGGGTAGCGATTACACCTTCTCACAGATTCACCTGTGGGATGAAAACAAGAAGGTCTTCGAAATGTTCAAAGAGATCTACATCCAGGCACCTCGCTCCTTCACCCCAGTGTCCACGGACCGCCGAAACTTCATCTTCTCCTCCAGCTTCAAGGGCAACACGCAGATCTTTGAGCACATCATCATTGACTTGAGTTTGTGAATTCAGGTCAGTTGCTCAGGGCTCCAGGAACTAGAGGAACAGAGACTTAATGCACCTTTGTCAGATACAAATCGGTTGTTTGATGAAGTAACCCCATATCTATAATAGAACCACTAATTGACAAAATCCTGAGCAACTATACACCGGCTGATGTAAAAAAATAACAATAACATTTCATTGAAAGTGAAAATGGGAAGAAATCCATTAAATTAGACAATAATGGCCAGTAGAATGAGAGGTGCCCATTAATTCTTATCTGCATAGGATCTGCTGATGTGCATTAAGGGCAATTACAGTCCCCTCATCATCATTCATATTTAAAAAGATTTAGCATTTTTTACACTTTCATCCATTCTATTTTGCAATTTAATACACTGCACACTAACGTGATTAATTCTAATATATGGGTGACACTTATCCATAAGATGAGCAGTTGACTTAGGTAACATCAGTTTGTCATATCATACACTGGAATATTGCGTAACACTGTTTTAAGATTAACGTTCTCTGTGCACACGGACTGGCAGAAGTGATCATGGTCTGTTTTCAGTCTCTACCTAAAAAGGCACCTCTGATTACACTGAGACCTTCTGAACGATAGTCTCAGACTTTTGTAAACAGTCTGCGAATCCCATGAAAAAAGTCCGGAAAGGCGTTAACGTTTTCCATATGCAGCAGTGACCTTCCAAGTACGTCTCAGTCAGTTTTTGGGGAAACGGCTCACCAAAATAACCGAAGGTAAGACATCTCCATGCACGACAACATCACAAACGCCACATGAACCATTTTGTTTATTGCATCACAAAATCACTGGCATCTGACTCTGATTTCAAAGAAACAAATCGTGAGATTTTGTATTACAACAGATTTATTACTAATCTTAAAAGTTCACATAATATTTCACTTGCCAACTAATGGTATGATTTATGTACAGGTAAGTAATTAGCACGGATTATATATTTTCTCATTAGAGCCGTTAAATCAGCAGGAAACTTAGCAGGTAAACCACATAATACCCACTTCTATTGCCTCTTTATAAAACGGCCAGTCAGTCCTGGAACATTTCACCAAACTCTGGTGTAAATAGATCCTGGCACTGGAGGATGACTTGTGTCTTGTAAATAAAATATAGAAAAATGGACGTAAATAAACGAAGAGTTATCTTTGTTACTCAGGACAGTGATGAGTAATTTCACCTATAAAACACTGTAGGTGAACATTGCAGCTGAATGCCATCAAGGGGTAACGTACGACATAACTGAATCAAGTTTTATACGACGTTTCAGGATTGTTGGAACTGACAACACAGCAACTATTATAATTCATAATAATGATAATAACTATCATGAAATACGCTCTGTGATCCTCACACTTTTTGTATCACGATTTTGTGCATCTTGCGTTACCCTGGAAATGTAGCTATTCTTCGAAACTGTATGAAATGTAAATGAACAATGCTTATGATGCAATAAAAACACTGAGAATGAACAACTGAAATGTGGCACGGCATGAAAGCTTCTTCAATTAATAAAATAATATGAAGTGATTCACACAATAAGGGGAACAGATTACTGTATGTGGTAGTCGGCCAGTTCCGGATAAGTAGATAATGCAAAATACAGAGTAATAGTAGTATTATACATGCGATTTTGGGTTTGCATTACTTATATTTTCATTCTGCAATTTTTCACCAGGAATATCCTACAATAATTCGGCTTCCTGAAGAAGTGGCCTCAAGCAGTTGTTTTTAAAGCCAAAAATACATTAGCAGCCTACTTCCATTATGTGGATGATAACAGTCCTGATGTGAAAGAGCTCTTGTAAGCTTTTGTGCAGTACATGACCTTACTGCTAACGAGTCTCAGTCATGGCAAATGTGTGCTGCTCTTAGCACAAAAGAGCAGCAACAAACAGCTGCGCTGTCCACTGAAATATTGATGTGAACCTGGGCTGTCCAAGACGCAAACGCTTAGGTGAGCAAGGGCAGGCTTTTTGCTGGCTTGGTCCAGGCCGCAGGGATATGTGACTCCTGATGGCGCGATATACGTGGGGGCCATGACATTGAGTCATAGAAGAGTCACTGTTTAAGATCAGACTCTCAGAAATGCAAGGCTTTTGTTGTGGATTTCTGGCTTTCTTCCAGATCTGTAGTTATATCCATCATCACCATAAACTGAATCCTTTGCACATTTTTAATAGAAAAACAGGCCAAAGTTGGAAAGCGATTAAATCAGCGTCAAATGGTTTTATTTACAATCCCAAAGAACCCCAGCGAGTAGTCCCTCTGGGTCTGAGAATGGGACGAGCCTCTCTCGTAACAGCTGGACGTGTCTGCTCTGGATCTTGGTAAATTTTCACAGCTGTATGAGGGCGCTGAGTCAGTAAAAATAAAGAGCGAGGACCTATTTAAAGCTCAGCCAACCAAAAAAGAAAAAAAATACACCATATATGACAAACACATTTATCTTCAGCAAAATCTGCTAGTTAATCAAGGCAAGCTTCTTCGTTCCTCCCATCTGCCAGTAGCCTTGACAAGATATATATTCCATATCATATATACACGTTTATTTATAGACTGTTTATATGGACTATATATGAACAGGCTTATATAAATAACTTCAGGTTACAAATACCTTCACATTCTTCAGAAATTAATGTTACATCCATCTTCTGAAACCGCTTAATCCCAACTGGGGTTGGGGGGGGGGGGGGGGGGGACCAGAGCCTATCCTGAGAACAATGGGCACAGGCAGGAATCAACCCTGGGCAGTCAGTCACCAATACACACACACAACTACAGGGTCAATTTAGACTCACCAATCAACCTATCCTGCACACTTTTGGACCATGGGAGGAAACCGGAGCCCCCTGGCAAAAACCCACACAAACACAGGGGGGAACGTGTGAACTTCACACAGAAAAGACCTGGAACCAAACCCAGAACCTTCTTGCTGTGAGGCAGTAGTGCTAACCACCACACCATCTATTAATGTTACAATCCACAAATATCTTTTTGGGTAAAAATGTATCTTTGCGATCTATAGAATGATAGAATGAATCTATGTTCACTCTAAACACATCAATTTATCAAAATAAACAACTTGCATAATGTTATGGCTAATATTTGTCATTGTACCCTGTAGAATGACGTGTCAATGTGTCTATTGCCTGAGCATAAAACATCAATAATTTTTATATACACATTCATGCATATATGATTGTTTGAGATGGAACATCTTATTTCCGGTGATTTCTGACCATTTCATGCTTGATGGAGGAAACCCAACCTTTTTAACAGGGAGACTGTTTTAGAAGTCATTCATCAACAGTTAGAAAATATACAGGGGTGAGCAAAATATGAGACACCGCAAGTGGGAAAATAAAGACTTTTAATTGTGAAGTATCTGAACTGCAGTTACACGCAGAGATACAAGGTGAGTCATATTAGGTTGAAGGGCTGATGACTGAGGCCATTTTACAGGACCAGGTGCAGCCAAGCTACAAACTGTATTTCTATGATATTCCCATTTTCCTAGCAGATAATGCCATCATACATGCTCCTAAGCAAATTCAGCAGTGGTTTCACCTCTAGGATGAAGTCAATCTCCTCCCATGACCTTCCCAGTAATCAGATCTAAACCTAACGTAAACTTCATAGAAGTACTGGCATGCAGAATGAGAAATAAATTTCTGCATCTTTCATCTCCGAAGGACCGGTACTGATTTTCATTGATATACTTCTAGCCATTACCGATATTTCGCCCACCGCCTGCGACTTACAGTAATACACTCACATAACAAAGCGTCTAGTTTATTACACGTATCCGCATCGAGATATGTAAAGCCCACGTTATCATGTTAATACTACGTACGTCCCAAGGCATAACTAGTACAAAACCGAACTCCCGTCATCCGGTCCTCATTACAGCGATCAATGGTAATACAGAATGCATTATCGTTTAAATCTTTAAATTTCAGGAAAGCGATTATATTTTATAACATTTATATAATGGTCAACATCACAGGTCAATCCGAGCTCCGGTATATACAGTGTCCTTATGACTACAATCCTGATCAGCTGCTCCCCGTGCTGACGCGAAATGCATGGGGGTGAGGAAGAGGAGGAGGAAGAGGAGGAGCCTGTGGAGGAGATCCCGAGCCACCTGGCTGTAAATACGGCCGCTTTCTCCTCATCGCTCCCCGATACCTTTGCCGTCCTCGGGCGGTAATATCTGGAGGTTGCGGCACGATGAATTCCTCCAAGCGGAGCGAAAGCGACTGGCAGGGCTTGGTGAGCGAGGTGAGCCGCGGGAAGGAGCGTCCTGGGCCGTCGGCGCAGGGGATGGTGTCCGCGGGGGGCGGATCGAGGACCGATCGGCCGGACCGGGGTGCCTGGTAATGGAGTAGGCACGTCACGTTAAGCCGTCCTGTCGCCATAGGCTCAGTAATGTATGATACTGCGGGGTGTGTTTTAGCGATGTGCAGGCCGGCGTGGGTGCAATGCACCGGTGTGGATTGGGGGGGTGGAGAAGGAAGGTAAATGAGATGCAGCACCATGACAGCGGCGTATAGCTTGTCAGTAAGACTGGGATATCGTACATTTACAAATGCAAACCCGTTTTACAGTGGATTTCACACGCAAACCCGTGAGGGTGCAAGTTTATGGGGATGTAGGACGCAGCGTCCGATTTGAGGTGCGATGTAAAGCAGCGTAAGCCGAAACGGCGGCTCGGACAGCTGCATCTGAACTTAATACGCATTTTTATTTCCCCCGAAAAACCGCTGTATCGTCCATTTGAGATCTGTAATCATTTCTGAACCATTGAAGACCCCTGAACGCTATGTGAGAGGTGCAGTACAGACGGTTTTGCTTTATATGGCCTGCACAGTATAACAGGTGTTCACATTTTACACGCGCATGGAACATAATTTCCTTATGGACTTGTGCTCGCTAGATAAGCATTTATACAACATGAATAGATGTATTTCACCGAAAACACAGCGCAATGTTTGCTACTTTTGTGAGCATTGTTTATCAAGACATTTTCCACTGCAAAAGGTTGGCGTGGAAGCAAGTCCATTACCCTCACCGTAAACAGAAACACGCGTGTAAGTAATATCCACAACACTGCCGAAATCTCTCTGCCCTGGAGTTGTGCTGTAGTAACATATCAGCTGTGCTTTGTGCCTCCCTGTGTACACAGCCCTGGCCTTTAGCCCCAAACACCCCTGTAGCTTAACTGTGCTCCGCACACTGATCTGCGTCCTGTGAGAATTGATCGGATTAATGGATATTTTTAATGTTGGAAGCTCCAAGGGCTGTATGGCTGCACCTGTAGCCGATTTTCTGTGACTTCTTTGTGGTAAAGATTTTAGTATATTAAAAGTAAATGTGCTTCAAAAAACTGTTGTATAAGTGTAATAATAACGATTTAAAGTTTATTTACCATCTCTTTAAATATGAGTACAGCTGTATTGGAATACTTCCTTTCACATATCCCATCTTGCTCTCTTTTGAGAGATATATACGTACAACAAGGTTTGGGCTCTGAGTGTAGAGTCTGTCCAACAGCCCTACAGCATTTTTTTAGATAAGAGAGTATGGAAGATGGATGGATGCCTGCAGGGATAAAAATGGACATTTCCCAAAAGCCGTAATTGGCATGCCTGCTAACTGTTACTGTGACGCAAATTGAATTAGCAGAGATTTTGACAGGTCCTGCCCTAAAGATTACCTGTCATTTAGAACCTTCTGCCTAGCGAGGTGCACAATTTCGACCTGAGGTGCTGTGAGTGGAAGCTAAACCCAGCTCATCATAAATATATGAATACATGTTTTTGTTTTTTTTTTGTGCACACCATGAGACTATGCTGCAAGCTGCAGGTAACACTATCCAGGACCTCCAAAGAGACGGGCCACTTCCTCTGGGAATGGGTCTACCCTCCTGACAGCAGAGCCAATCAGAATATTGCGTCCGTGGTTTGGGAATAAGCTTTTGGATTGAAAACGTGGGTGTCACATTTCTGACGGGGGGTGGTGATGCTGGCTTTTCTGTAGAGTGCCGAAAACATAATGACCTCTGGAAATGTGTATTTGGAAAGATACTCTTACCTTTCACCCTTGGTGTGATACGCTGTGCTATACACGCATCAGGACTCCTCGCTGTGTACTGTGAATGCTGTCATCACTTGAGCTGCTTAGCTTTTATCCTAAAGCCTTTATATATTCGGTAATGACTGAGTGTCTGATGTGTAAACAGCAGATGATGTGAGGCCAAGAGCTACGTAAGTTGCTGTTTGAATAGGTATTTGAAGATGGTAATTAGTGTAAGGTAGTGTGTCCCAATCGCCATGGCAGCGAGCTGCTGTTCTGGGTGTCGTTATCTGACTTGGAAGGTGTGAGGTCATCGGCGGTGACAGAACAATGGAGGGGGACTGAGAGGGAGAAGGGACCGGGGCGCGGGGCCCGCAGCTGACTTGCTGTTCTGTGGCTGCTTTTGCTGGGGCTGATTTCCTGTCTATCTTTTTGGAAAAATCCATATATGTTGACGCTACACGGCGCGATAGGTTATATGTTCCAGTCCCATCCTGAGCCGTCTTGAAACCAGGGGCGCTTTTCCACTGCACCAGGTGCCGCACTTTTAGTGCTTCAAGTGCTGCATTCCATGTGAACTTGTAGCTCGTTAAAATGGAAATTTCAACTAGAACGCCCCCTCAAGTCAGAATTTCTACTCGTGAACTCTGAGGAATCAACACACCCCTGAGCTCAGAATTCAAGATGGCTGCGCCCTTTATCAACACAAGTTAAAGCTGTAGTTTTATACTGTTCATAAGCACTTGCGTCTTAAATCAATTGTACACACAGTACTGTCCAACCGCTATCTGTTTTACGTGTTGCTACGCAAAATACTGCCTAATGTGTTGTTATCCACTGATATTGCTAATAATGGCTAACAGTTAACCAGGGTAGAACAGATTTAAGGTAGTCTGGGCTAAATGTAAGTGAACAAAGATAAATGCCATTTAAACTGGGCTAAGTTAAATCCAACAAGTTATCCAGATAAGAAAGAAATCTTGAGTTCTTGAAACTGGTCCCTGGTACATCATTACCTATAATGAAATTTCTTGGACTTGAAGCCCCCACAAGATTGCATACTAGCAGTAAAAAACACTTAAGTAGAATAAAATAAAGTGGCAAAGTATACAGTAGTAAATGGTAAAATAAGATGATAAAATAATAAGGTGCATAGTACACAGTAATTTGCAGGAACTGTAGTAGAAAGAGTATAGTGTTTACTTGTACCTGTGTATATATACATTCCTGCATATGTGCAAAAGGTAAGTTTCTTCTTAGGCCGGAGAAAGAACGCAAAGTTTGCAGGATGCCAAGCAATGGCAGCTATCCTCACAGGCGCCATATTGGACCCTAAAGTACCAAAAAAGTACCCCAGCTGGTTTACTACTTTAGGTACTAGAACTTTTGGTACTGGTACTCAACCAGAAGTAGGTGGAAAAGGGAAAGTACCTTACCAAAAGTGCGGCCGAAATCAGGTATGCATTCAGGTAACCTGAGCCCTGTCCCACATTGAACCACAGGCCGCCCCTCTCTGTACTCCTCTTTTCACAGTTCCTGGTGTGCAAACGCAAGCTGGAGAGCAAGAAGGAGGCCTTGCTGATCCTGTCCAAAGAGCTGGACTCCTGTCAGCAGGAGCGGGACCAGTACAAGCTGATGGCCAACCAGCTACGGGAGCGACACCAAGGCCTCAAGAAGAAGTACCGGGAGCTCATAGTGGGTGTGGACACTGGGGACAGTCCAGTACCGGGAGCTCATAGTGGGTGTGGACACTGGGGACAGTCCAGTAGAGGGAGCTCATAGTGGGTGTGGACACTGGGGACAGTCCAGTAGAGGGAGCTCATAGTGGGTGTGGACACTGGGGACAGTCCAGTAGAGGGAGCTCTTAGTGGCCTAGTCCTGTTCTATGACATACCATTCCATCCATAATGTATGCTAATTGCACCTTTAATTTACGTTACAGGATGGTGACCCTTCCCTGCCCCCGGAAAAGCGAAATCAGGTATGACAGGAAACATCCCCGCTATGATTCACTCTCGGGGGGGGGGGGCGCCGAACAGGGAGGCTGCATTTACCGTGTGCTGTATGCCGGCAGAGCTGGTCCTTTCAGAAGGAGAAGCCTCATGCCCTTTCCAGATTTTCCTCTGGCTGTCACAGCGCCAGTGCCAGTGCCAGTGCCAGTGCCAGTGCCAGTGCCAGTGCCAGTGCCAGTGCCAGTGCCAGTGCCGAAGAGATAAGCCCCTTTAACAGATAAGCCCCGTGGCAGCGCTGATCAAAAGCCTGTGAGCACTGAGCAGTTAGCCAGCAGGGCCTGATGACGAGCCGGATCCGTCATGCATCTGAAAAGCTGCCACAACTGGGAAGAATAGGTGGTGAGGGATGTTTGTACTCGTCTGTGTATGCCGGGGGGGGGGGGGGGGGGGGGGGGGGGGGGGGGGGTGCTGTCCTCACACCCAGCTGCCAAGCCGAGTCTCTGCTGGATTCTGCAGTTTCATCCTGCAGTGTTTAAGTTTCTGCCCTAAAGGGTCCGAATGACTTACTCGCTGTGTTATAAACGATGGTGCCGTCTGTCAGGATGCTGCAGACTCGTCTGCTTGACGCGTCTTACTGGTCGCCGCGGCGAGTTTGTGAAGAAGCGCGCAGAGAATATCAACTGGGGCGCACCGCGTCATTTCTGCTGGTCAGACATCCAAGTGATTGAATGGGGTTGACAGGAAGTCATAGACTGCTATAGGATGGGAATGAGGGATCAAGATGAGGGAGAAAACGGATGTTGATAGAAGAGGTGTGTTTCGTCCCAGAATGAGCTTGCAGGCATAGCGCCCTCTGCAGGTCTGTTAGGGGGCTCTGTTCCAGTCAGACCACAGGAAGCTTCACCTGCCCCTGGAAGCCACCGTCACCTAACTCAGTTGCCCATGGCTGGTCCCTCTTCTCGTCCTCACCTTGGCTCCGCCCCTTTTCAGGTGAACCTGGCGCAGCTCCTGCGAGACTCCAGGGAGAAGAGCAAGCGGCTGGCGGAGGAGGTGAAGGAGCTGAGTCAGCGGCTAGCGGAGGCGCAGGGTGACAACAAGGTGGGGGTGCCAGCTGCTGAATCGCCGGGTCGCGGTGGGGGCCGTGCTTATGAGGGACGCTCCCCAGGACTGATGGGAACCAACTAATCTGCTGGCTCCCAACGACAAGATCAAAGCTCGTTGAGATGTAGAGCAGTAATTCACGACGAGGACATCCCGAGTCTCTCCACAGCGCCCCCTGGGGCTTCTCAGCTGACCCAGCTGCAGTGAGAGGCAGTCAGACTCTGTCAGGGAGGGTTTCCCAGCAGTGATGGAGGTGGTGATGCACTGTAGGCATCTCATACTCGTCTTGCTCCTAGGTCCTTAGGATGACCATCGCCAAGCAGAGGCTGGGGGATGAGGAGGTGGGGGCGCGACACTTCCCTGCCCATGAGCGGGAGGACCTGGTGCAGCAGCTGGAGAGAGCACGGGAGCAGGTGCGAGACTCGGCAGAGGAGAACAAAACCTACTTGACACTGGTCAACAAAGCATTTTGAGTAGCGCCCAATTTAAACTTTACGCTATACATACATTTACTGTACATGTGCACGGTGGAAGTGGACTCATAGAAACGTATGATTTTCTGCTGTACTTGGCCTCAGAAACATCCCTCTATAACAGGGGTCTCCAACTCTGGTCCTGGAGAGCTACTATCCAGTAGGTCTTCTGTCCCACTTGGCTTCTGATGAGCAGAACAGGTGTGGCTCATCAGAAGCCTGGTAGGATTTAAAACCGACTGGACGGTAGCTCTCCAGGACCAGAGTTGGAGACCCCTGCTCTAAAGGGTCCAGGAGAAGTCGGCAAGCGCACAGGGACTCCGTTTGCCTTGATATCATGTTACCACGTCAGACAGAGAGCAGGAACCTGTCTCAACATCTCCACACGCGTTACATCCTATAAACTCTGGCACGACACTTGCAATACTGTACATAGCGCACTTCTGTAAAGTCTTAAAAATGTTCAGGAATGTAATTTAAGTCATTTTTGCTGTATTGAACTTTAACCCATATATTCTTAATGAGGAATTATAGGTTCTATTTATAGCCTAAAAATGACATAACTATGGGTGATGGCAAGATTCCGAGTGCATCTCTGAAATCGGCATAAACACTATCACAGATCAAATAAGGGGTCTTTGTTGAATAGCGTTATGAACAAAGTCATGATGTAACAACCCAGTGATCATGTGACCCTGAGGCTTTTGACTAAGAGCACCCTGGTGCATAAGAGTGTGAATGACCTTCCAATGATGACACACTACAAACCAGCACAGATATTACTTAAGCTATTAAAAATATTATCACACTAATAACTCAAATCCCTAATCTTTTAGATTTGAAGATTATGTAGTAAAAGCTAAAGGCATCAGAAGCCGTTGACCCAGGTCCTGCATTGACATTTATATTCATATTCGTTTGGTCACACTTGACTTGCCTTCGCCCGGTGGTATAGAATGAAGAACTGGAGCAGAATCTTAAGGCGGCGACAGACGAGCTGCAGGACGTCAAGGCCGAGCACGCGGTGTTTCAGGAGAAGGCCGGCCGCCTTAACCGCGAGCTGAACCACATCCTGGGGACCCCGGAGATCCGCATCATCGACGTGGACGCACTCTGCATGGAGAACAGGTGTGGGCTGCGTGTGGCTGAACTTGGCTGAGAGGAGTGTTTCCCAACCCAGTCCTTGGGGGCCACCAGACAATCCATATTTTTGCTCCATCCCAGCTGCCAACAAACCTATTCCAGGCATTGGGTGTTCTTGATTGTTTGGTTCTGGAGTCCTGGGAGCTGGAAGGGAGCAAAAATGTGGGTTGAGAAACACTGGCTTAGAGGTTGTGGCAGCATGGGGGGGGGGGTGATTGTCATTGCTGTTTGTCAGTGTCACGGTTGTCTCCGTCTTTTCTAGTATTTTCTACGGCAGGGAGCAGCCTTGAGTAGATGAGTATTCAACGGTGATCGAACTGACGGTTCGTGTGGTTTCATTTCAGGTACATACACGAGCGGTTTAAGCAGCTCCAGGAAGAGGTCCGCCTGCTTAAAACCAACATCATGAAGTACAAGGTGTGTGGACATAGCAGGCCAGATTAAAATCAGTCCACGGTGATTAAACAATAATTGTCAGCAGTTCACCCAGGCGTGTCTTTCCAGAGTGCCCTGGAGAGACGCAAGAACTCCAAAATATACGGAAAATCCAACAGCAGTGCTCTCACTGGGGTGCTTTCTGCCAAACAAGGTACAGCAGTATCCCATCGCCATACATGAGTTTCTTTGGTGGTACCCTTGCGTCCTCTGTGAGGCTGCATCCGAAATTGCACACTTCCACACTAAATAGTGCGCCGAAACAGTGCACAAGACATAACAGGACGTCTGAAACTGTAGCATGCATCGCTTAGTGCCTTGGAACACGAATAGTTCCTAGATGGCACCCTACATCTGTTCAGAGTCCGAAGTGTACACTATTAAGTCCCAGAATCCTAGAGGAGACTTCCGAGGAAGTCGGGGTTTGTTCGGTACTTGTCGTTATGCAGGACATCTGTCATTAAAGGTCAACGTCCGGCAATTCAGAGGTGACGTGCATCCAGAAAGTGCATGAAGTTTTGTACTTGCACACCAAGGAATTGCACTAAGTGCTGTAGTGTGTACTTTTTCCTCATTTAAGTGCAGAGTAAGACGTGTGTGAATTCAGATGCAGCCCAATTCCCTTCTGATCCTTCCTGTGCCCCTTTGACCTTTGCTTTTAAGATAAGGTTTCACAAAATATAAGCGGAGAGCACAGAAAAGTTATAGTATAATTTAGTCCCAGCTTTTTGACTAAAAGTATGACAGACGCTGGCTAAGAGGTGATTAAGTGCCGGGGATTCTGGGACTGCTGGGTTAATGACCGATGGCCCCCCCTTTCTCCAGTGCAGGAGCTTCTGCTGTCTGAGGACAATGGCTGTAGCCTACCAGCTACACCCCAATCCATCTCCGACCTCAAGTCCCTGGCCACTGCACTGCTGGAAACCATTCATGAGAAGAACCTGGTCATTCAGCACCAACGACAGACCAACAAGTGGGATGCGCCCAATCACACATTGTCCTCTCTAGGGCTTTGTTGCATTTCTGTTTATTAGTGGCACAGAAAATATATGCCATAAGGCTTCAAGGTGTGTTTATAATGTGTAGAAGATTAAATATCTGACAGGTAGAAAATGGAAAAATTCTAATTTAATGTGGTATGAATTTTTCATACTATGTCATGCATTTTAAAAGAAGTGTCTGGCTCTATAAGGGTAGGTCACATGACATCAGGTAAAGCCCCAGTTGTGTGTTCACAGGATTCTGGGAAACCGTGTGGCAGAGCTGGAAAAGAAGCTGAAGACTTTGGAGATGGCTGGTTTGTGGAGCCTCCCAGGTTAGCTGTTGTGTCGTCGCCCTACTTTGCTGGCTTCTTGCGATAGGCTGGTGTACCGTCCCGCAATTGTGTAACCGGGGCCTCGGAGCGTCGTGCCCCAAAGTACACATGGTTAATCTTCACAGCTGGTGTGGTGGGCCACCTCTTCTGCATGCTAAACACTCATTGGCCGAGGTCGGCCTTGCCCTTATTTGCATGGCTTTGCATTGGTTAGCTGTTTGCGCCCCCTAGTGGTGGGAGGGATGTCTCCACCGCACTGCTACTGTTTTCTGCTATTGTTTGTCTTCCGCTGAAATTAGAAGGCTGAACTGAACTGTGATGCCTGCAAAGTGGTGATGTATAGAATAAGCGGGGAATCACAGCAGTAGACTCATTAAAATAAACAACACACAGGATCTAAACAGCCGCATATTAAAATGGGCACTAAATGTAATGCAAGAAAATGCACAAACATTGGCTGGATTTATGAGAATTGGCTTCAATTAGAATTCTCTCGACTTGCCTGGTCCCTGGACATCGCTGAAGTGGGAAAACATTTGGATTTTTAATTTGCAAAAAGATGCAGTACAGCTACTCAGAGCTGGAGATGCCAAAGGAAATGATTTTCATTTCCACTGGTTCTGTTCATGGCCCACGGGAAACACTAACAGCAAAACCCAATGAAGACGTGTGTATTTAATGTTGTTTCCCTTTAACAATATTTACTGAAGACTCCGGGGTTTAATAAAAAGAGAAATGCAAAAGGCATGGCCGTCCTCGGTGACGCAGAATCCACCATGAGAGCGCCCCCTAAAGGTGGACTCCTGTCCGACAGCTCCTGATGTGGAGCTGGGTCCAAGACCCTTCATTACCCATAATGCCTTGAAGTAGGGGTTTTCAACATTTTGATATCCATGAACCGGTTTATGCCATACAACAATGTCACAGACCGGTGGAAATTATTGTGAGGGGGGATGTTTGCCGATAAATCAGTGTGAGAGATTTCATAATTTTTATGGATTCCATCTTTTTCTTCATTTGCCTTGGAAATGTATCATAAGAAAGGCCATAGCTTGAAAATGTTGTTTATTTTTTTGGAAATTACCCAACCCCTCCACAAAACCCCCAGCGTTCAAAAGCCTGGTGGTTGACAACCCCTGCCTTAAAGCACGCCTTTGTGGCATGGTTCCCCGTGTGTCCAGCGTAGCTGAGGGACTGGGTGTGATTTAGCTTTCTGCCTGATTGTGCCTTATAGACCAGGATTTGTTACCATTTCTGCTGACTTGACTTTTCTCTGTCTCCCCCTGCTGCCTGGAGGCCTCACCTACAGTGTGTCGCTGGGATTTGGAAGTACGTGTCTAATGAGCTTGCCATGCTTTCAAAGCTTGTGTTTTCATTGTACTAGTCAGGGTGACTCAGAGAGGATCTGCGTGGATGTGCAGCCCGTTAGTAGACCAGATCAGGGGCCCGTGTCATCAAGCAGATCATTTGAAGGACATCTTTGTGAACTGGGAAGCTGTAAGGCTTTGATCCTTGTTATCCTGTAAAAAATGGCAGATATTGAACTATGAGAGTGTTCTGTTTGCTTAGGCAAGATGCTTCAATGGACATTATTCTGCCCTTTTGAATGTAATGCATGTGGTTTGAATCTCATTTTTAATATAAATATTCTGTGTGTGTAAAATAGAATGTACTTATTTGCTTGTGTATATATGGAGAATATTAAAGGTTAGCCTGGCAAAATCAGTATAAATTTTAGCATCGGTCAGATTTAGCTATTAAAATCAGGTGCAGGAGTCTGTTCTGTGAACAGCAAGATGTTTACAGAGCGTCTAGAAATCGGCGCAATACCTGTCTTGTCCAGCAGAGGGAAACGCAACACCACTTTGCGGACCCATCTCAAGCTTGACTGAACCAGTTTGTCTGTCTTAAGATGGCCATTCGGCCTCTATAAAGATGACAAGGATCCATTACAGAAAATGATTGCCCACATTACAAACACATTTAGGGAACGTGGCGTTATTAGGGAATTTTGTAGACCAGACGGAACATGGCTGAGGGCTCACCGCCAAAACTGACAGCTATGAGGTCCGGTAGAGAGAGACTGATAGGGGCTAAATATGCGAGATCAGAAAGAAACCCTGTTGTTACCACCTAGGGAGCAACTGTATGGGAGCGTTAGATGACTGCTCACCATTTATCACCGAGCCTGGAGCAAAGGCGATCAATCGTGCGGCTGAGCCTGTCCAAAACAAAGCTCTCCGCAGTCGCTCGCAGCAGGAAGGGCTTTTGTAAAAGAGGCGTCATGCACGGAGTGTCGGGGAGGGGGGGGGGTGGTGCCAATCCTCCCCATGACGCCCTTTCCCCGCAAAGCTGCCACGATGCTGCGAGCTCGCCTTGCTATTTTGAGGAAAATCCTGCCCCATTATCAAACCTCCCTGGGTCACGTTGGGGGTGGTGGGTTGGGAGGGGGGAGAATCCCCCGCTAGGAGGACAACAGAGAGATCCTAGGCAGGTGTGCTTCAGAAGAGGCAAGTGTTCAGGATCGGCACAAAAGCCCCCCGGGAAGATTTCAGAGTCAGCTGACATTAAGTGCTTCAGCGAAGGGCTCTGATCTAAGAATATAGTGGAGGTCTAACGGGTGAAAGCCATGGTGGGGTCTGAGGAGGCCTGTGGAGTGTTTGGGGGGGGACACCTGCCTGTAAGCCTCTTGGTGTGGAAAGGGGGCTTGTGCGATCACGGTTTCACCAAACTGACGGGTGACCGTTTGGCCCACAGGAGCAGGAAGAGGGACCGTTACCCTGAATGACAGCGAGCTGCCCATGTCCCCTCCGCCTCCACACCTGAGAGAGGCGCCCCCCGAAGGTGAGGGTGGGCCGGTGCGGCCGCCGCTGCGACACGCTGCGGCTTTTCAAGGTGAAATGGTATCGCGGTTTCAAATTTCGACGTATTTTGTCAGGTGTGGACTTCGTTTTTGGGAGGAGTCTGTGCGTCATCCACGATCTTTAGCGCAAGGATTTAAAAACATTACATAAAAAATGCCAGCAAAAATGCAGGTACCTCTGGGATTTTTTTGGGACAGTGTCCAGCTCTTCTTGCGTCACCCCCTCATGCATTTGTCCCTGCTGTCACCGTTTTCCCTGTTATCCTGTAAGCTGCTGACTCACTGGACTGAGGCACGACGTACAGTGACCTATAAATATTTGCTTTGCTTTCCAAGCACGTTCTCCTGTGCATTCCTGCAGGAGCTGTGCTACCGGTCACACTTTAACCCTGTGTGTGTTTTCAGATGACAGGATGGGGGGCAGGGAGGCCTATGTAGGCCAACGGGACGCGCACCACTGCAGCGACCCGGAGGTGTCGCCCCGGTCGCGGGTTGGCCCGGATGGAAGCAGCGAGGAGAGTGCCCCCTACTGTTCAAACCGAACAGAATCAGTCACTGGAGGTGGGCTCAGCATCCCAGTGGTCAGTCTGAGGCTGGAGACGGTGGTATCCCGTGAGGAGGGGGGAACCGCCCAGGTGGATTCTGGGACGGAGGTGGAAAACACAGCCCAAGTTCCTGGTGAGGAGGGGTCAGCTTCTTTGGATTCCCTTCCCCACAACCCCTCACAGGATGACTGTCCAGACTGCTGCCTTTCACTAGCCCCGCCCACCCACACAAGCCCCACCCCTTCCCCAAACCACGCCCAGTAAGCGGAGCTGACTGAGACCTGCGGTGCACAGCTGTCCTCTGGCCTTGATGCCGGGCCCCAGGTCAGCACAAATAGCTGCTCTTCCACAGAGTCGTCGGGCCCAGGCCAGACCTCAGAGATGAGCGACAGCTCCTGCAGAGAGAACCTGGCATAGACCATCATCCGGGTCCCACATGATGGGATCCGGTCTTGTTGCAGAGACTGAGATAAGCCAGCCTGCTTGGACTCCTCCTTTCCTGGGGCCTTGCCTGGCTGCCAGGGGGGGTCCCTCCCCTGTTCAAATTAAAAACCGAAACACTGCGTATTGTCAGCCTGTCCACTTGGCACTGAGCCTCTGGGTGGCCTAATCTGAGCTGACCAGCACGTTTAGAAGTCTGGCTGCCACTTAAACCCTTGGGCCACAAAACTTCTACCAAGTCGAAGATGTCACTTCCTATTTCAGATATGTATCTGTGGTTAAAATATTTAGGATTTTGTTTTCCTTATGTTAAAATATGGATCATTTGGACTAAATGGTCAGTGTTGCTGTTCTTGCCTGAATAGGGCTGCTGTACACGCTGTATATTGGTCACTTGCTGACGGAACATTTCTGAAGGTGATCCGAACCGAAGTTTCGGATGACGCGTCCCTTTGTGCAAAAGCTTGGCATCCCTGTCACCTTGGTTAGAGGTGCACTACCAAAAAAAAAAAAAAAAAAAGCTGTTGTCCAGTAGGGGGCGCTGATGCTTATCTCGAGCTGGCTGGGCCCCAGATAGTAATCAGGAAAGTGACAGCTTTGTGAAAACTTTGCACCATCCGGTTTTGGATTTGAGCCTGAGAGTAAAGTGGGATATGAGTGACACCACATCATTGAATGACCCTGTTTCGCGTCATGCTTTGTCCCTTGGGGGACATATTGGCCAGCGGCTGGTGTATGGTACTGATATCTGTCTGAATGATCTAAAATTATGTTTGATAGGACTGGACTTAAGAGTCAAAATGTACTGAAAGCAAGACACCGAAACGTATAAATATTTCAGTTGCGAGGGGGTGGAAGAAAGTGTGAGACATTTGATGTTGACTTTCCATCTTTTTCTTTTGCACGACTGCTTGGTGGATTTTTGTCTCTCTTTCCTGCGGGAGAAAACCTCTCCCTGTTTTATCCTCTGCATCTCTCCATATTAGTCAGTAGAGCTGCTGAAAGGAAAAGCTCAGCCGTTAGACTTTGTCGCGTTTCACGGCTGATAAACGTGGGACCTTTTTCAAATCCGTATCCGACTGAATCCGCAGCTGTGAGTTCAGCCGTTTCCTGCAGCTAATGTCCTGAAGGTCGGCTCGACTCCCTATGCCTGTATAGTTTTACATCTGTGCACCACTGTCACCTGATACTTTCAGAGATACAGTATGAAGCAGTTCAGGGTTCTGGGTATTTTTGGGGTCTTTGGAGAAGCACTCAGGTAGGTCTTGGTACTGGAATGATTTGATAAAATGCAGTAAATTGGAAAACCTCGGTCAAAATATTAGGGCTGGACAGGATAGTTCTCAAACAGAGAAATGAAAAATGTTCAGTCAGCTGTAATCTTTGTTTTTTTCAAGGTATTTAGTCTCTTTCTCTATTTGTTTACTGTTCATCTACAGGAAGTTCATGGTGCTTAGATACCAGGAATGTTTGCTTCGACCATCTTTCTGGAAGAGTGATGTTCTATCGATTTCATTTCATTTCTGCTGTTTTTTTTTATTAAGTTTTCAGCCAAAGAAGGTGTTAAGTCTTTTATGGACAAGGATATCTTATTATGAGTTCGGCTGCGGGAAAAAACTTCCGAGAGACTGAACTGGATTTTCTTGTCCGGGAGTCTGAAACGTCACGTGTCACCTAGCGCTGCTGCCGTAGGAGAGGAATTTGGTGACTTAAAATTGCGTGCATGACTGTGTTTCTGCATTAACTTCTGTAATTACTTGTCTGTGGGTGTAGTCTTTCTTTACATCTCTTTAAGGCAGCTCTCTCATGCAGAGATGAGGTAGTACTTTTAGCCTGGAACAAAAAAAAAAAAAAAAACTCCAGTTCTGTCACTGCCTGCATATTTTTGGTATGGGGAAAAAAACTGCACAAAATGAATATATTTCTTGTGGGGATAAACCTTTGAATTAAAAGAGCAGTGGTGTCATGCACAGGCAGTCTTGGCTTTTTGACTCCTTAGATTTTTCTTTAGATGAGCATTCTCACTGTGACATACCATTATGGAATGTGTCATTATGGAAAAAAGCTACCCATGATGCACCTGCACTGACAAAATGATTAGAAACATTACTCTTTTTATCATTTATTTTGTATTACTGTACTACTGGATCATTACTAGAATTCATTTAACAGTATTCTTTAATAGGTGGAAATTACTTTCTATTAACAATCAAGGGCATATACATATATATAAAAAAATCTGTTAGATCACACACATGTAGGTCTACCCATAACCCATTATGATGTTTGCAAACATCTGATTACAGGTATAATATGCTTGTGCATAAAAAAGCAATAAAACAGGTTTTCACTTACAATTGAAATGGGAATGGTTGGAAAAGCTATAATAAGAAGACTGATAATGATTTATCCAGTTTTATGCTTCAGTTTTAGATCATTGTTTAACATTGAACGGGTAAACTAGTATTTCTGATTAAAAAAAAAAAAAAACAACTGTGTTTCGTGGAAATATAAGCTGTTAGTGATGCTGTGATGAACCAAATAAATGATATTTTTCTGACAAGGCCTGGTAATATGAAGAATGGTGGCTCTTTTTGCAATCGTAGTGTGCGACAGACCCAGCAGTGTGTGAACGGGATGACCTTTGACCTTTCGTTTAGCCTCCTCTGACGCTATTGGCTCACGTTGTCCCAGAGGTTTCTGCTGCCGATCCCGATGATACAGCAAGCCAGCCGGTGGCCTGCGTTGCCGTGAAGCAGGCTCCCCGCGTCGCCCCCCTGGCCCAGGTCATCCTCCCCCGCGTGGAGCACCACGGATCGGCCCAGCACCGACAGCGGACCGAAGAGGGTGACGTCGCTCGTTGTCCTCTCGCGGATACGTCCGCCACGAGGCATGAAGTTTCCGAAGTCGCCTGGGTGCTTGGGGTGGTTCACCTTGTCGGGGTTGTAGTGACCACCAGTTGAGTCACAGCCTTCGCTGAGGTCACCAAACTGGTGAACGTGGATTGCTCGCATCTGTTTGGCGTCGGGGAAGCCTTTCAGTTTGAACATCACCTCCAGCGGCCTGTCGACACGGCCCTGTCTGAAGAGCACCCGCCCGTAGACCTTGGGCTGGTCCTCGGCCAGTCTGGTGTTGGGTTTCATCTTGCAGCTTGCGTACAGGGTCCCGTTGAACTCTGCCAACTCTGGTTGGACTATTGGCTTCATAGGAAACCCGTCACTTTGTGACGGCAGATAGGCAGATAGGAAACAGGGCAGTCCAAACAGGAGGAGCACTGGAGGCCAGTTTGTGACAATCAGGTGCATTTTGATTTTCTAGAAAAGATTCATGGCATAATAACATTATATTCATAATAATACTTACTCGTCATTGTATAAAATCACATAACACGGTACTAATACCTTCCTCGTATTTCATCTTAATTTCCCAAAAGATTTCTACTCCTGCTTCACCCGCATGCGCAGTGAAAAAAAATCTACCAAATTAGTTACGTAAGAGAAAACTCAACAAAAGATAGTTTCGTAATATTTATACTGATCGAAGGTATAATAAAATAACATCTACGCTCGTTTCGTTAAATCGGTCATAAGAAACGGATCTAGCAGTATTGTGTGGCATAGTGTTTATGGAAGTTTGCCACGTAAGATATTCCAGTAATACAAAGATTATTCAGGTACATGTCTGCACGAGACTCGCAACGGTTCGAAGAAATAAAACGGATCAGGTTAAACAGATCAGAATTGCCACACTTTTCTCAACAACAAAAAACGAGAAACTCCTCAGAAAATATCCCAATTAATTTACATAAATGAGAATTGCTTTGTGCGGCGCTGTAGATACATTACCTTAGACGCCTAGAGAAAAAAAAACTTAAAATGGAGTCGCTTTCGTAACTTTTTAATCGACAAATTCGCTCAGAAGACCGACAATGTTGTTATGAAGCCTGCCTGCCTTTTGACTGGGAAAATTGCACAAGAGCTAGGCGGTTATTTAATGACCTAACAATGCATAACGCACGCGGAAAAACAAAAACATTTCGTTGGTCATGAATAATGAATTGATATCACTTCACAACAAACTGTGAAACACAACGGGTTCCAATGAGGAAAAGTTATGTGAAATTATTAAATAAAATGGCTTGAAAGCATGCATCTAAATAATAATAATAAATTACATTTCAGTTACATATTGCGCCTTTCACAAACCAAGGGCAGCTTTACAAGGAGAAGAAGAGAGGGTTGAGGAGGAATAGAAATGTCCAATAAAGAGTAATCTGATTGCTGCATTAATTCCAGGCGAATATTTAATACAGATACAAAATAATTTCATTCCCATCATTAGATACACATTACAATACATGGCACTACATTGTGATGCTTTTTGACTGACAATGGACCAGCAATTGTTGATGTAGCTCAGCTGACGATAACTTCCCAGTTGCACTATTAAATATTAAGAGATTTGAACGGTATCGGTGTTTTGGGAAGGGGAAAAGTAACTAGAAAGTATTCATGAGTAAAATATTTTGGGCTGTATGTTTCCATGCAGGGATCTAAAAGTCCTGCACTGTATGAAGTTTCCATGCAATCAATGGTTATACGGCCATCATGAGGTAAAGCACAGCAAAGTTTTTCTTTTTAAATATCTTTTATTGCAGCTAACAAAAGGCAATAATCAGCCCTTCTCTGCATGTTTTTACTTTGCTGAGACAGCAGACAAACACAGGAAAACTAAAAGTCACAAAAAAAGAAAAATACAGAAGTTCCAAACAATTCCACAGGGACAGAAAGTAAGAGAAATAAATAAATGCTACTAAAATAGTGCATCAAGGGAGGCACATACATAACGAGCAGCTTGCTTTTCTATCAATTTCAGAGATTCATGACATTTTTTAATAATCTTAAGGAAATTAGTAAATCCAGATCCAAGTGTGACTTTGCACCATTTTGCACATGTATAAAGAATTTACCCAACATTAAGAAATAGTTAACCACAGTGTTATGCTTTTTATCCTTCAGAATGACTCCTAAAATTATATCCTTTGGAGTAAAGGGGTCTAAAATGGAAAATAAAGGCGAAATCAAATCATACGTGTATAAAAAGCACACTAAAGTGCCCATGGGGTTCAGCCTTTTGGGGGCGGCCCGCTCCTTTCCCAGCCTCCTTTCCTAACCCTCCACACCCACGCAGCATCCTCCTTCATGCATATACAAAGCGCGGACGGTTTTGCGTGTGGGTGATTTCAGCGCATGCGTAGTACAAATCGGGGCTTCGGTCCACTTCGGGTAGTGACACCTTCCCCCCTGAAGCGGCGCCCAAGTTACGGCTTCCGGGCGCCATCTTACCCCCGGCGCGCTTTCCTCTGTGGTGCTGCAGTGTCTGCTTCGGGCTTACTCTTTAGCACCATTAAGGAAGGATGTCTAAAAGACATCGTCTAGATCTGGGGGATGATTACTCATCGAATAAAAAGAGGATATCGTCTGACGGGTAAGGGCCGGCTCAGGTGCATCTTTGTGTTTGGATGTGGATGTAAGCGGGGAGATAACGGGCTAAAGCTAACGGGGCCAGTCGCGCCGCCGTGCCGGGCCTAGAGCAGGCAGATCCAGCGCACCATACCGCCGAAAATTGCGCTTATGCACGGAGTGGCTCGAGCAGGTCGGCGCTCGCGAGGCTCCTCACGTGCGGCCCTCACACGCGGCCCTCGACGGTGAACTTTCTTCTCCACCGAATGCTATAACCAGGGCTGTCGCGTTTTAGCACAGGTACCGGCCATGCTGGATTGTGCGAACATGCCAGAACCTTACCGAAATGTGACGCTTACCTAGTGGTCTAATTGCTAACTAGTCAGGTAACTTGGTGGGCAGTTGCGACGCGAGCCCGAATTCCCCAAAACATGTGGCGCGTGTGAGCCCGCTAGCCGCCCCGCACAGACGTGCATCGCACCGGCTATGTGCGCGACGGGGGCGTGGATCGCTCGGGGTCGGTACGCTGCGGGCCTGCAGGAGAAGCGCGGATACAGGAGATCAGGACATTGTCCAAAAAAATGTCGGAGAAATAAATCGCGAGAGTAAGGGCCTAAAGCGGAAGTAGGAACTCACCAAAGGCCAATCGGCAGCGATTTATGGCTTGTGAATGTGCAGGTTCATCTCGTGCCCGGTGCAGATAGAACCCCTTCCCGGCATGTGATGTACCGGAAACATTCGTCAAGCGCATGTAGCATGGTTAAATTTCAAAACAGCAAAACGTGCATTAGGTTTTGGTTTTGGTTTTGCACTGTGGTTTCCTGTGTTACACCCGGACACTTTTAGTGGCTGAGTGTCACACAGCTGAAGTTGTGCCCCTGTAGACGCTTACTTTCTGGGGTATTTTAAGCTCCCCTACCCCCGCGACAGGACACTGTACTGACAGGGGTTCAACCGACTTTCAGAGGTCGGTTGGTGGTGAAGGAGGCCCAGTTGGGTGGCACAGTCCCAGTATGCCAGTTTTTTTAAATAGGCTGAGTGTCTTGTAAATAAATGTATTGATTAGCCATTGATTTTTGTGGTGTAATAATATCTGAGGTGGGTGATGATCTATGGCTGCTGGTCATTCCTTATTTTCTGGCAGGCCCTGAATATTTTGACTGATTACAGACGATACAGGACATGGTTTTAGAATTGAGTTTGCATTGAACTTTAGTTTAAGTGCATAGTTTAGCAGAACTGAGTTCTAATTTCTGTATGAATTGTGCAGAACTGTCTGAAATGAGCACAAACTGTGGCTTTTTCTTTTCCCTTCTTGTGATAGATTTTACTTTAAATTTAGCTGTAGCCTAGTTAAACTTTTATTGCCGGGTGCACTCTCGGGTGGGTTATCTTAAATTACTCGGATGGGCTGGCTTGCGGGGCTAGGGAGTGTATTATGGCATTTATCTGGGTCAGCCTGCCTGAAGTGTCTGAAATGTCCCCCTTCGCCTCGCAGGAAAGACAGGGAGCGTGACCGAGACCGCGATGACCGCTCCAGAGACCGGGAACGGGAGCGAGACCGCGACCGTGACAGGGAAAAGGAGTCCAGGGCCCCTGGTAGCATTACCAGCCCCCCGGTGACGGGTGGGGCCGCCCCTCTGAAGCAGATGGCCATCCAGCAGCAGATAAACCCGTTTACCAACTTGCCCCACACGCCCCGCTACTACGAGATCCTGAAGAAGAGGCTGCAGCTGCCCGTGTGGGAGTACCGGGAGAACTTCAACAACATCATGGCCCGGCACCAGAGTTTCGTGTTGGTTGGGGAGACCGGCTCTGGGAAGACCACGCAGGTCAGGGTCCGGCTCAGGCTCTGGCCGCCCTTCCGGGCCGCATGCCGTCTCCATGCCAACCGGCTACCGGTGCCAGCTTCTTAGGCCGTTTGGTTTCGGAACTTCCGTCGGAAACATATTTGATTGCTTGTGAATTTTTCTTAATGTTCAACACAGCTTTGTTGTGCTTGATTGCTTTTGATTGCTTGTGAATTTTTTAATTAAAAAAAAACTTGTATCAATTTATGTGAGACCTGTATTTATGCAGTTACATGCTTAATATCAAGTTCTTTTTGAACATGTTAAAGACTCACAAGTGGGGTGATTGTAGCACTCTTTATTAAATGATCATTTTGGTTTGCTTCCCTTCCCCCCCCGGTGCACAGATCCCACAGTGGTGTGTAGAGATGGTGCGCTCCCTGCCAGGACCCAAGCGGGGCGTGGCCTGCACACAGCCCCGAAGGGTGGCGGCCATGAGCGTCGCCCAGCGCGTGGCCGACGAGATGGACGTCATGCTGGGCCAGGAGGTGGGCTACTCCATCCGATTCGAGGACTGCAGCAGCGCCAAGACCCTGCTGAAGTAAGAGCATGGCCGCACTGATGGGCGTGGCCTCCGCGGGCTCTCCCATTGGCTCCTTGAATCCCTGGGCGGGTTTGAAAGAACGAGTGTATTGCACAGGCCATTTAAATGACAGGAATCTCTTTTTGCCCTGACGGTAGTCAATTACATAAAGTCCTGAATGAAACTAAAGAGTAAAACCATAGTATTTGGTCCTCATTGCTAGGTGTTACTCACTTGCGTCCCCCCCCCCCCAGGTATATGACTGATGGTATGCTCCTCCGGGAGGCCATGAATGACCCTCTGCTGGAAAAATACGGTGTCATCATCCTGGACGAGGCCCACGAGCGCACGCTGGCCACGGACATCCTCATGGGTGTTTTGAAGGAGGTGGTACGGCAGAGGGCGGACCTCAAGGTACACCCCCGAACCCCCCCGCCCCGCCCCGCGCTCCCATCTGCTGTTGCCGCCCAATTTAGAGCCCAGCTCTAGTTTACGGTTGTTCTCCAGTTTGTGGCACCTCTATTATGGTGGTTTATTAAGCTGTAAATTAAGGTGTGGGAGACCCCGCAGTGCTCCTAAAAACTTCATCGTGGGTTTGGTCGTCGTGCACGGGGTCTTTTGAGGCCCTACTGACTTTCACCCTTGATGGGAGCGCGGGCCGGTTGCTCTGACACGCCCGTTGGGTGTTGCGCGTGTGTCTGTGTTCCCGCACAGGTGATCGTCATGAGCGCCACGCTGGATGCCGGCAAGTTTCAGATTTACTTTGACAGCTGCCCCCTGTTGACCATCCCCGGTCGCACACACCCGGTGGAGATCTTCTACACGCCGGAACCCGAGAGGGACTATCTGGAGGCCGCCATCCGGACCGTCATCCAGATTCACATGTGTGAGGAGGAGGAGGGGGACGTG